ACTGTCAAGCCGCCGCACAGCATCGACGCTGCATCTTCGTCTACGATTTGATCGGGAATGGGAAAGACGAACTGCGAAGGGAGGGGGGGGGGGGGAGTGTGAAAGATGGGTGAGCAGGGGGGGGATGCGCGCCTGTGAATTTGAGTGGCGCGCCCACTCGCAGGGACTGACCTGGTGATGGGCGCGAATGGCGCTGCTGTAGCCTCCTTGCGCAACGGCTCCATCGGGATACTTTGCGTTGTACGTGTCGATGACGCCCATTCCCGTCTTGTCATCTCCGACGCAGTACTGCTCATCGCCCTCTTTGCAAGGAAAGCACGTTCCGCAACTTCCAACCTGCGCACCCACGCCGACCCTATCGCCCACCTTGATGCCTCCTGGCACATTCTTGCCTACGGATGTGACCACTCCGATGATCTCGTGTCCTGGAATGACGTAGGGCGTGTTGAACTCTCCCCAGCCTCCAGTGATGGTGTGCACGTCGGATCCGCACACTCCGCACGCCGTGATGCGCAACGTCACATCATCGTCCGTCTCGGGTTTGAGATCAAACGACTCCACCTTGAAATCCGTCCACTTGGCCGGATCGTGGATCGCATAACCTTGTGCTTGGCTCATGATTGGCGGTGCGCGCGCGCAAAAAAAGAGAAGATGCGTGAGTGAGTGGGGATGGGATGGGATGGGATGGATTGTATCCTTGATTACCACCACTACCCTTCGCCCTGCCTCGCCCCCACCCTTCTTATACCCTCTTCCCTCCTCGACCCGGAGAACTCCGCAGAAGAACTCGAATCTCGCGCAGAGGGCCGGCCGGCCCCCCAATCCCAATCGTGAAATTTTGTTGCATGCAAATCGAAGAATTCCGCTTGCTCGTCAACAGGGTCGATCGTGGATCCAACCGCAGGCAGGTGCAGGCAGGCAGGCAGGCAGGCACACCCTGCTGCTGCTGCCGCTGCTGCTGCTGCAAAGTGATGTCGTGTGCCACACACGCACCGGCGTCCGAACATACCTGTACATGCGCGCTCTTCCTTCTCGACAGGGCACGTGCACGTCGCACGCGTACCGATACACAGCATCGGTGCCTTTAATTCATTCTGATTATTGGCTCATTCGCGCGCGCGCCCCGTTCGGCAAACTCCTGCGCGGCCTTTCTGCATGAGGCGCCGAGGATACGAGCAGCGATCATGCATGCGTGCGTGCATGTGGAGGAGCCCTCGTCAACGATGCGTGTGTGATCGTGAAGATCACGTGTGTACCTAAGTGTGTGGTGCGTGCTGCGCGCGTCGCGTCGCGTGGACCTATCTCTCGGCCGGGAGAAGACCGACCGTCGCGCGCGCGCGCGCGCACCTTTTCTTCTTCGCCGGGTGTCTTTTCTTTTTTTTTTTTTTTTTTTTTTTTTTTTTTTTTTTTTTTTTTTTTTTTTTTTTTTTGCACTTGCAACAACAATCTCGAAGCACTTCTAGCAGTCAACGCCAACACACCTACACTCTCTACTCAAACATGACTTTGATTGGATGCATGTGGATGATGAGGAGTGGGAGCAGTGAGTTTTTTTTTTTTTTTTTTCTTTTTTGTAATTCTTGATTGAAAATCTCTTCTGCCCGAGCCTACGACTAGTCACGTGAACCATTGGCGAGTTGGCTTTGTTCCTTTTTTTTTTTTTTTTTAAAAGGCGAAGAAGATGCGGATGCTGCATGCATGCTCAGGCAACCCAGTCAGTCCGCCAAGCCAAGCGTCGAGAAGTGACCGCCGCGGGCATTCAAATTGTGCTCGCTCGCTCGCTCACTCACTCGCTCATCATCTCAATCATCTGGAACTTTTGAGGGGCAAAGCACCCTCACAACCACGTAGCGCAGACGCAGTCCATCTATTTCAGTCCTTTGAACCGGATTCCTGCATCGCACACGTACCCACATACACACACACACGCATCATGTCGACATTCGCACCCCGCGCTTCTCTCGGCATGTTTGCTCTTCGCATCTCGGCCGGAGCGGAGCCTACGCTGCTGGATGCCATTCACGATGTTCACATTACCAACATCTGTCTCGTCGATCCTAGCGAGGAGCAAGAGCAAGAGGAGCGAGAAGAGGCATCATCATCTGCTGCGCTCAACAAGGTGACGCTAACGTCGTCGTCGTCGTCGTCGGAGAGCGCAAAGGCGACAAAGGCTGTGGTCAGATTGCACAGGACTTTTTTGCCGGGCTTTGAAGGGGAAGGATTCGGATTGGAGGATGAGAGCGATGAGGATGAGGATGATGAAGACGACGAGGATGACGATGGGGAGGAAGATACGGCAGAGGAAGAGGATGAGGCCAGCGAGCAAGTCAAGGTCGCGGATGAAGAGGACGAAGAAGACGAAGAGGAGGAGGAGGAGGATGACGATGAAGAGGAAGACTTTGAGGAAGAGAGCTTCGCTGTCTGCCACCTCTACCCAGGAAAGGTCAGTTGTGCGATCCGATGGCGGCAGAGATGGCCCAAATACATGCGCATACATGCTCATCTCCCCCCCCCCCCCCCCCCCCCCCCCCCCCCCGCACACACCCCGGACCTTGCAGACCGAACAAGCTCAAGTCTCGCTGCGATTCACATCCGATGATCTGGTCGGATTCTCCGTCTCGGGCGGTTGGGCCATCGATATCATCGGCTCTTACGAGGCTTCGCCCGACGGGTACGACTTGTCGCCGGATGAAGAGGAGGACTTGTACAGCGATGATGATGATGAGGAGGATGATGACGACGACGAAGAGATCGATAGCGATGAGGCCGGAAGCTTGCCTGATCTCAAGAGGAGAATCGGAAGGAAAGCAGATGAGGATGATGATGATGATGATGATGATGATGAGCTGGACCTCGAGTGAGTGTCTTGCGATGAGCAAGTTCATGCGAGCGCATTCACCGACTGCTCTCTCTGCCGCTCTCTCTTCTTCTTCATCCGCCTTCGCTACCTGCAGCAGCGACGACTTGGCCGTGAGTGGGGACGATTGATCGCGATGTGCCGCTCATTTTGCGCAGCTGACACATCAGCTGCACGCCTCCACAGGCACTGATGGCAGAAGAAGACGACGAGGACGACGAGGATGAGGACGAGTACGATTCGGACGCCTCAGAGGAGGAGGATGCTGCAGGTCGCTTCACCGAAGTCGTGGAAGAGGCGCCGGCTCGAGCAAGCAAGAAGCGCGCATTGTCCGAAGTGGATGCGGAAGATTCGATGGACGTCTCTACGGCAGCCGAAGTGACGCAGGCCGAATTGCAGCGCGCTGCCAAAGAGGCAGGACTGGATGCGGATCTGTCCAAACTGAGCAAAAATCAGAAAAAGAGATTGAACAAGAAGTTGAAGGCTGCTGCTGCTGCTGCTGAGGGGGAAATAGAGCAAGATGTTCAGGTGGATGCAAAAGTGGCCAAGGTTCAGAAGCTGGGCCAGGAACCCGCTGTTGTCAAGCAGACCGCCATCGCGGCTACGACGCCTGCGGTCAATGCCAAGGCTGCGGTCAAGGACGTCAAGGTGAGCCTGCGAGCGTCTCTCGAGAGCATGAGAGCTACACTGACACTTCGTGCTCTCGCCTCGCGATATCACCAGACTGCGACGCAACAAATCAAAAAGACCAAGCTCCCATCGGGTCTGGAGATTGAAGGTGAGCAGCGAAGAGAAGAAAAAAAGAAAGAAAAAAAGAAAGAAAAAAGACAGAAAGACCCAATCGCACCCCGTGCTTTTTGTTCGTACTCACGCGACTTGCCCACGTCCCGCGCATCTTCCAGATCGCAAGGTCGGTAGTGGTCCAGCAGCCAAAACGGGCAACCGCATCGGCATGCGCTACATCGGCAAGCTGTTGTCGGGCAAGACGTTCGATCAGAACACCAAGGGCAAGCCGTTCAATTTCAAATTGGGCCGCGGAGAAGTGATCAAGGGGTGGGATGAGGGTATAAAGGGCATGCAGGTGGGAGGAGAGAGGCGCATCACCATTCCTCCTGCGCTCGCTTATGGAAAGAGGGGAGCACCGCCCGATATTCCTCCCAACGCTACGCTCGTCTTTGATGTAAAGGCCGTCGAGATCAAGTAAAGCTGCTTCTCGAGCCCGGCCCCCCGCTCTCTGCATTTCATTGCCGGACCAAATCACTTTTGCGCGCACGCATGTTACCTCTTTCCACATACAGAAAATCGACCAACGCGCTCGTCGACGCCTCACGCTGCATACGTGACTGAACCGCGCGCTCGAAGCTGGACGACAAATGAATGGTCTGCCTGTGGATACGTGATGAGGTACATCAAAGGATGAGTATGCTCGATAGGTTGGGCAAGAGCCCTCGGTGGCCTTGGGAAGCGTACACCACCGCACGTCAGTGTCAAGGAAGAAGATGCTTGCCTATCAGCGTAGCCCAGTCGTTGTATTGCGTTCGACGCTCGACGCGCCTAGGCTCCGTTGGGCTTCGCATTGGGCTCTTTCTCTGCGGCCGCCTTGTTGATCGCGCCGTTTGCGCCTGGGTGCTCGGCTCCAGTGCCCGCAGCGCTGGTGTGCTCTGTACTCGCAGGCTTACTGTTGACGGTCGTACCTGGTTCGTGAGTCACTGGCTTGACGTTGCCGGGCTGCGTCCTCTCCGTCGTCGAGGGATGGGTGACTGGTGTTGCGCCGCCGGCCTGACTCTTCTCGGGCTCGTGGGCTGGCTTCACGTTGCCAGGCTGCGTCTTCTCTGTTGTCGAGGGGTGGTGAGCTACTGGCGTCGCTCCGCCGGTCTGAGTCTTCTCGGGCTCGTGGGCTGGCCTCACGTTACCAGGCTGCGTCTTCTCTGTTGTCGAGGGGTGGTGAACTACTGGCGTCACTCCTCCGGTCTGCGTCTTCTCCGTTGTCGACGGCTCGCGCGTCGCTGGGTGATGCGTCACCGGCTTCACTTCGCCAGGCTGGGTCTTCTCGGTGGTCGAAGGGGTGTGAGTGACTGGCGTCGCTCCGCCGGTCAGAGTCTTGTCCGTTGTCGAGGGCTCGCGCGTCGCTGGGTTATGGGCCACCGGCTTCACCTCGCCAGGCTGAGTCTTCTCCGTGGTCGAAGAGTTGTGAGTGACTGGCTTCACCCCTGCCGGTTGATTTGAAGGCTCGCGCGTCGCTGGGTGATGCGCCAGAGGCTTCACCTCGCCAGGCTGGGTCTTCTCCGTGGTCGAGGGGTTGTGAGGGAGTGGCTTCGCCCCTCCTGCTTGAGTTGACGGCTCCCGCGTCGTTGGCCCATGCGTCGCGGGCTTTACACCGCCCGCCTGAGCCTTCTCTTGCGTCGCTGGGTCATGCGCCATGGGCTTCACACCGCCAGGCTGGGTGTTCTCGGCATGATGAGCAACTGGCTTTGCCCCGCTCGGCTGGGTCTTTTCGGGAACGACGGGCTGACGAGATGCTGGTGTGGCCGTGCCTGCAGCCTTCTTCTTAGCCATTGCGTCGCTGTAATTCACGAGACGACCATAGTGTTGAGCTTCGAGTTGAGATTCCCTTTGATGGTATTGGGCCTCGTGCATCCTGTGCTGCCACTCGCGCTCTTTGTTCGCGTTGAAAGCGCTCTTCTCAGTCCACCGCTTCGCATCGGCATTTGATTTGGCGATACGCGCTTGATAGCTGGCTTTCTCTTGGGGAGTCAGCTGCTGCTTGCCCGGCTTGTCCCACTTCGCCATATCTTCAGCCATCGAGTGCTTCGCCGCCGGCTTGGCCTGAGGAACGCCACTTTTGACGGGAGTCTTGGAGTGCGGATCGACGACGGGATGCGCGGTGTTGCCGCCATTGGTCTTGACTGGCTGCTTTGCGTGCGTGTCAACGACGGGGTGGGCGGTGATTCCCCCATTGGCTTTGACTGGCTGCTTCGTGTGTGGATCGACGACAGGATGAGCAGCAGTTCCGCCATTCGTCTTCACGGGCGTCTTGGCGTGCGGATCGGCGGTGCGAACTGGCTGCTTGGTGTGCGGATCAACGGCAGGGTGGGCATTAGTGGCGCCATTCGTCTTCACGGGGGTCTTGGCGTGTGGATCAGCGGTTCGAATTGGCTGCCTGGTATGGGGATCAACGGCGGGATGAGCAGCAGTTGCGCCGTTGGTCTTCACTGGAGTCTTCGCGTGAGGATCAACGGGGTGGACGGTTGCTGCACTATCGGTTGTCTTGACTGGCTGCTTCGTGTGCGGTTCAACAGGGTGGACGGCGGTCGCGCCGCTGGATTTGATCGGCTGTTTCGTATGCGGATCGACGTGCTGGACAGTGGTCCCTCCATTGGTTCCAGCCGGGCGCTTCGTGTGCGGATCGACGGCAGGGTGCGCACTGCCTCCGTCATTCGTCTTGACGGGAAGCTTGGCGTGGGGATCGACAGCCGCGTGCGCACCGACTCCGTCATTCGTCTTGACGGGAAGCTTCGCGTGGGGATCGACGGCAGCGTGTGCACGGACTCCGTCATTCGGTCTTACCGGCTGCTTCGTGTGCGGATCAACGGCCGGGTGCTCACCGGCCCCACTATTCGTCTTGACCGGAGTCCTGGTATGTGGGTCTACTGCTGGATGCTCACCCGCCCCACTATTCGTCTTGACCGGAGTCCTGGTATGCGGGTCCACAGCTGGATGCTCACCCGCGCCACCGTTCGTCTTGACCGGAGTTCTGGTGTGTGGGTCTACTGCTGGATGCTCACCCGTAACCGCGTTCGTCTTGACCGGAGTTCTGGTATGTGGGTCCACTGCTGGCAGCTCACCCGGCCCACCGCTCGTCTTGACAGGAACTTTGGCATGAGGGTCTACTGCTGGATGCTCACCCGCCCCTCCATTCGTCTTGACCGGCTCCTTGGTAGTGGGCTGGGTCTTGACTGGCTCTGTGATCTTGTGCTCAGTCTTGACTGGAGTTGCTGGCGTCCTGGGCTCAGTCTCGACTGGAGTTGCTGGCGTCTTGTGCTCCGGCTCGGTCTTGACTGGGGTTGCTGGCGTCTTCGGTAGAGTGTTGGCAGTCTTGCCTGGCTCGTGGATGTCGGTGGTCTTTACAGGCTCTTTAGCAGGTTCAGTAGTATGAGCAGGAGTAGCAGGCTGCTCTTTCTTCGGCTGCGTCAAGGGCTGGCTCCCCCCCGTTCCAGTCGAAACAGGTCGCGTTGCCGGCTCTTCCTCCTTGACTCTGAACGGATTGTTGGTCTGAGTGGTGCCTTGCGGCCTGCCCACAGGCTCCGCGAGTTGCCCATGAGAATTGTAGGTGTGCTCAGGCGTATGGGTGCCAGTACCAGTATCAGCACGAGTACCGGCACCGCGACCGGCATTTTCTGCCTCGACAGTCTTTGCACCGCTGCCCCCAAGGTGCTCCACGCCCTCCACGATAGTGGAGCCGATGCCACGGCGGCCGAGGTTGCCGAGCATGCCACGAGTCGTGGGAGATGACCACGTATTTGAGCGAGCTCTTAAAGTTGTGACTCCGTCGCTGTCCAGTGCGTCTTCGCCGACGGGCTCGCGCGTGTCGACAGTGCTGTCTTGTACATCACGACGGTTGAAGTGAATGACGACTGGGCTAGAACTCGAGACACCAGAGCTAGCCGCATTAGTTTTGGCGGCGTCAGTCTGAGTCTTCTTCTTGCGGAACGTCACATAGCCTGTGCTTCCGCCGGTAGACGCATGATCATCTCGAGCTACAAGCGTCGTTCTCTCATCGTCGCCAAGCTCCCGAGCCTGTTCAAGGCGAGCGTCCAGAGTCAGCGGCAGCTCGTATGCACGACTTTGGCTACACTTCAGACTCACCAGCACCTCTTCGTTGGTAGCGTGTGAGCGGCTGGGAGTGATGGGCAAACCGTGCGCGGTGAATGTGGCGAGCACGAAAGCGGTCAAGATCGAGGACTGAAACTTCATCTCGGCTGCTGTCCACGGTTCGCGAAGTGAAAATATGTAGTTTTTGAGATCTAATGCGCTGATTTCGAATGCAAGTGCTGAAGGTTGCTATAATCTATTATATGATGCTATCAAATGTCAATGCAATGCGCTGCAGAGCGTGCCTATTTTTGGTTTAGTCGACGCCGGTAGAGGCCAGCTCGATGAGGGTGTCGACGGTATGGGCGCTTGAAGACGGCTGTGATGGCGCAGAACGAGACCAGTCGTTCTTGAAGGTTGCTCGTGAATTGAGGCGGGTCAATTCGTAGAGATGGATCACTTGGATGGGGTTGATGATGAGTGAAGAGAAATGAGTCTAAGTGAGAGATTCCACGGCATCTTTATAGACGTCGAGTCGGACCTTTCTGCAGCGAGATTGCGAGGTGCAGGAACACCCTTGGAGATGCACTGCGTGCCTGTACAGTAGCAAGTCAGTGCCCGCCAGATCTCATCATCGCTGCCGTCTCCACTTGCCACTCCGCTTACCTTGGAACACGGGGCGGCAGCGTGCTTGGCGTCAGGGGCGGATGCTGAACGCAAGGTCCAGGCGGAGATCGAGTCTGCATCCAGGTCTTGTGAAGTATCGAGTAAAGGAAGCGTGGCAATCTGATCAGGAACCAAGTGCGTGCCTGAGCGGATGCAACCGCGTGAAGTCGCGGGTCCAACGGTCAGACGTCGAGATCGTGGTGTCGTGCGCAACTCAAGCGTACTAAGGAGCGGTTGATAGGGAGCAGCAGACCGAGTGGCCGCCATTTGTGTGCGCGTGTGGCAAGCAACTTCTGCGATGGTGATCGGGTGGCGGAAGAAAGCAAAGAGACATCGCCCGATGCGTGAACTGGCCTGGCCTTGGCCGATTCCCGCTCAGCCAGTCTCCCTCGGCGCAATTGGCGCTTTACGGAGCTGGCGTTGGAGGGTGGTATGCGCGCTCACTCTGAAGCAGGCTGCTGTGCAGGTCGGAAACCATTGCGGCGAGCGTGCCTCGTGTTGTCACCTCCATGCTGTAAAATTTCTGACCAGCGACGCACGCCCGAAACCTTCATCTGGCAAGAGGTGAGCGGGATGGGCGCATACAGATCCGTGGTAAGGCAATCGGTCGCCATAAGCAGGCGTGACTGGCGCGCCCTCGATTAAAGTCTAGCGCAGACGAGGGACGCCAACGTGAAGCATGGCGCGAAGGTCTTTTCTCGCTGCTAGTCGTGATAGGCAAGAGTGCAGCCAGTCGCATCCCTGAGTGGTCAAACGATTTTCAATTATCTGCAGACCAGCCGATGCTCAGCACGCATCGGCCCACTCCACTGGTGACTTTGCGCACCTCGTTGGACCAACCGCCTGCGCTCTCGATCGACTGACGAAAAGCGTGCACACCTCCACCAACGCCAAAGTAGAGCACTTTAGCAGAAATGAGAGCCAAAGTTCCTGGAGCTTCTGCATCCCTCCTCGGAGTCAACGGCTGGGCTGCAACGTGAGGTCCAGAATGATCCAGGGCACTCGACTCTTGCAGGCCCGAAGTCTGCAACCTTTCCGACAAGGCTCGCACAGAGGCACTGTGTGTCGACGAAGCCTTGCAAAGGCGCTGAAGAATGTCAAGCAGAGCGATCTGATCAGGAGGACTGTAAATCGTTTCCGAGGACAAGAGCAAGTCGGCCTTCAGAAGCTGTGGTACCCTGGATGTCGCCATCTGGCTCGAGGTCGCGCGTGAACAGGTTTCTAGATCCTTCCAAGGCCCGCTAAAGAATCTGAGTGCGACCTTGCGATCTTTCAGAGACTCTTTGAAGGCTGCTAGCATTTCGTCCGAGAGATCAACCTCGTCGGTAGCCGCGACCAGGTCGAGCTCAACGCCGTCCGACTCGGCTGACGCACCCGCAATAGAGTTGCGGAATGCGCAGGACGCTGGACTGGTGTACCACGCCAATATCAAGTTTGGAAGGGTGACCTGTGGTGTCGTGCTGCGACTCAGCTGCGTGCGTTCCCTTCATCAAGTAACCCGCATTCACTCACCAGCTTCAGCACTTGCTCGTTAAAGTCGCACAGCTGCAAGATCGTCTCCTTACGAGCCTCGTCAACCTCGACACACATCAGCCGTGCCAGCAGGAAGCACGCGGGTATCGCTGTTCCGCATCCAAGCTGAACCGCGATGACAAGGTCGATAAGCCTCCTCGCTATCTCGCCGCGAGTGCACAGCGCTGGAACATCGCTCACCTCTACAACGCTGAGACCCCTGAGCCAGTGAAACGGCACAGAGTCCAGAGACTCGCGATTGTCGCGGCGGTCATGCGCATCAAGCGCCGCGACGAGGTCCAGCGAGCACTCCCAAGTCTTGAGTCCACCTAATCAGAAACGATGATGGCGTGAGGTTTCTGATGCGTGGATAGTCGTACAGCAATCCAGCGTGTATGCGCCTTGTGCGTGGCGCCCAATCCAATCTGGCCAGGTACCGAGATCGCCCCCCTGCGCACTCACCTTCGTAAACGCCTGGCACCAGATCGCTATCGGCCTCGACTAGACCCGCTTTGGGGCCTTTGGAGCCTGCGCTGCCAGTCTTCGACTCTCCATCTGCCTCTTCCTCATCGTCGCTGGCGTATATCATCTGAAATCTAGCATCGAAGAGATCTCTCCTGGCCACAGCTGTCCATCTCGCTTTGCCCTCGTCATGCGCTTGTTGTGCGCCTTTCTGTGGATCCAAAGGTATCTGCAGCGTCGAGTACGATATCCTTGCTGGTAGAGCATCGATCTGTGCGGTTAAACGATTGGGCACTGCTGATTGAGCACAGTCCAGATGGATCTTTATAAGTGCGGTTCACCAACAACTCACCAATTCATCCAGCGTGTGCTCCCTACCTTTGACGCTTGATGCTGGCTCTGCTACTCTGCCATCCCTGTCGAGCGGCTCATCGGCCGCGTGACCAGCTTGTGCGGAACCAAAGTCCGCATACTCTTCGTCCAGCTCTTCGTTCGCAATGTCGAAGTGGAAAGACATTCTTGTCCCTTGAATTCGCCGAGCGCGTGAATCGTGCGCGATGACAGTTGCGTAGCGGTTTGATTATTGATTGTGGAAGCGGTGCTCGAGAAAGATGTCCTCCTGCGTCACGTTCAAGAGGGGAAGCTGTGGAGGTGGGAGCGAGAGCGCTGATGCAGGTCCCTGCAAGCAACCTAAATCATCAGCTCGTCGAGATCCGTCAAAGTCTTGAGTTCAAAATTCTTCGCGCCGCTCCGCTTGCGAGCGGAGACGCGTCCGCATCACGTGAATGCTAGCTGTCGTCCTTGACCTTCACTCAAACTCTTGACTCTCTGACTTAGGACTCAGATTCAAGACTCAAGGTTCTTTAATTCCAGGTTTGTGAGTTTCATTTGTTATGAAAGGTGAGAACAGCACAATGCTCTTCTCTGGCCACTCTGTGTTGACCCATGGTACACCAACCACAACGGCCTGTGAGGTGCTTCAGCTGTAAGGGAGAGACAAAGATAGAGGGAGAGGGAGAGGAGATGATGGTCGCAAGAGCCACCAGCAGCAGGCCTGAGGTTGCGCAACCAATGGTCTCGAAGATTGACATGTCAAAGACAGCTACAAAAGCGTCCTGTACGGGATCCCTAGTGAACGGCCCCCAACAAGGATATAACGGCTGCTGGCCTGGTGTTCCAAGTCAGCACTTGTACCAACGCCTCTCTGCAAAGCTCTGTCCCTGTGATCTTGCCAAAGACAAGCATGTAGACTAGTCTTGATGTGCTGTTGGGGTCCAGAGCAAGGTCAGGACACAGCAACTGGATGCATTCTGCAGGAGAAGCTGAGAAGCAGAGCAAGGCGTGATGCAGGGTCAGACTCAAGGTGCGGCAGACTTTAGATACGGTACACCAGCAAGGTTGCTGGTCTCAAGCCAAGCGAGCGCTTTCCTCTTTTCTCGATGTGAGGTTCATCTTCCAGAATCTCTTTGTTGCAGAGATGTAGCACCTCATGGAGGCTCTTGATCTCCTTGTCCTTCTCTTTGAATTAGGTGCTGAGCTTCTTGGTGCTCAATCTATCTTTGCCGCCCATCTTGACATCATTGGCAGTTTCTGCTTGACTTGCCTAAAATCTCTTTTGCAGAAGATCCTCACGCTTGTTGCTTGAGTGCACGGCACCGCCAAGGCAGGTGCACATTCCTGGGTAACTGCATTGGCTCAAACCAAGGCAGGATCTTGCTTTTGTCACGCAGATGGTACCCTTTGAGCTGGGTGATGCGCACGGTCATTGCATACTTGCCTGGTCTATAGGCCTCAAAAAAGAAGTGGCTGGTCTGGAGGTAGCAGCCGCGCTCAGGATGATTACCAGCGCACAAAGAGCAGATCCTGAGGCCAGAGAGCGTGCAAATGGCTGTGGCGGCCATGAGCTGGATGTTCTGCTCCACTGTCCCCGCTGCTTTGTACATGCGGCTCACAAATTCACCAAGGAGCAAGTCCGCCTCATTTAGCCCATATCTGGCAGTGATCGCCTTCTTATGGCTGACAAGCTGGAAGTTGGTTCTCAACCAAGCCACATGATTGTTGAGCTTCCAGATCAGCCCGGATTGGCTGTCTGCCAAGTGTTGAAACACTCTTGTCAGCGTCTTGGACACATCATCAACAGTCTGCTTTTGTTGAATGTGTTGCAGCACCACCAGTTGCAGATTGTTGCGCCAGACCACCAGAGTCTTGCTCGTGATGTGGGCCAAAGAGGGATTGTCAGGCTCGTCAGGTCCGTGTCCCCTGGTCATATTTGTCCTGAAGGTCAAATAGACCAAGATCCGCTCGATGAGCAGCGGAACGTCCTCATAGTCAAGCGGATCCTCCGGTACTCCACGGCTGTGTGCCAGTGAAGCAAACATCCGTGTTGATGCGCTGGCCTGGAGCTTCTTGTCAATCTCCAAGATGTCGCAAAACTTGTTGTTGACAAAGCTCTCGAACTTGAGCTTCGTGTTGGCAAGGCGAATCTGGGTGGAGAATGGGGTGAGCACTGAAGAGGAAGAATCGTTGACCTTGAGCATTTCATATGCACAGTGATTGACCGCCTGCTCAAATGTCATGTTGCGCTCGAGGGGTTTGGTCATGCTTCCTGCTCGTTTCATTTGATGGAAAAAGTTTCCCGGATCAAAGACGTTGCGGCGGCGGATGTTTGCACGGTCTTCTGCTCGAATGATCTTGGGCATGGTGGCGATCGAAGGAATGCGTGCGGTAAAAGGTGGCAGCGGCAAGAGGAGCGACGATGCGAATCAGTATTCAGCGAGCAGAGGTGAGGGTGATGTGGACAAACAGAGATGAACGAGGAATGCTGTTGACGATGAGGTGAGGGCAACGTTGGTGATCGCATGCGTTGTTTGTCGACAATCCCTCGATTCACAAAGTCGATTCTCTGCGCAAATAGCTCAAATTTGTTATTACTCCTTCGATCTCAAAGATGACTCGCTGTGCTTCAAGGGATTGAGATGCTCGATTTGGTCAACAAAAGAAGATGGTCAAGTGCTCACCATGTGAAGCTCAGACTCGGAATCATCCAGATCCACTTGATCTACGACTCGACTGATCGATGCGTGATGGCTACGTGCTGCACGTGAGTGGCATGTGCAACACGTAGCCATCTACAAATCGAGCCGAGGCAGCTCGCTCAGATCTGATTGACACGCTTGCTGAGCTCAGAGCGCTCGTACAGGCCTCGCCGATGTGGTCTCAGCTTTGAGCTTCTGGACCTTGGACACCTGGTCAATGCAAGCTGAACCAGGTCAGGCTGCAAAGCGAGGCCGTTCAGCTTTTCATTGGACTCAAATCACTTGGATGACCGCCCTTCAGAGTGAAAACTTCACACGGACGGTTGCAGAAAAGCTGGTGATGTCAGATGACAAACCCTTGCAGAAAGCATTGTTGAGGGTGATAAGGGACCTCAAGAGCCAGAAGGCCCAGACACTGTCGACGTAGAGTGAGGTCCAAAAATCAAAGGAATGGTCCAGGTGGGAGATTTGGAAGTGGACGCAGCAGCAGAGGTTGAGAGAGCGTCACGTATGGCGAGGCTGGAGGGGATGCCGAAGGCAATGGATCCAAATGCGGAGCGGGTGAGACTTGCTCCTGGTTCAAACGCCAACATTGGCAGGGCCTTGACATGCCCACATCCTTGAGGAACAAGTGCCTCTCCAAGGCTGCCTTTCTTGAATGGGACTTGGTCCGCAAGGAGGCTGTTGGTGGGCGGGTGGTTGTTTCCACTATTCTGTGCCGCAAGAGGGGCATTGGTGTCCTCCACCTCGTCCAGAACGCTCCCCTCCATATCCTTTTGAGGTTCCTCTTTGATTGTGATTGCCGGGCCGTGCTCTGGAGGGTCTTCATCATGAATGCTTTTGGAAGGGCCAGCTGCGTCTTTGTGTGGGCTTGCTACTTTCAAAGGTACCCTAGCTGACAGAGCCTTAGTGACTGCCTCAGGCAGACTGTCAAATCTCTTCACCAACTCCTCCATGATCAGATCCAGAGTCACCTCTTGACTCTCAACACCGCCCTGAGCGCGCATCTCGATCATTTTAGCCTGTAGGAGATAGCTCCAGTAGGAGCGCTATCTGGGAAGTATGGCACACTAAGACTCACTGTTACAAGACCTTGCAAGCACTGGACGTGCTCGCTTTCATTGGTGAATCCGTGCTTGGGCAGCACCGTGATCTTCAGTTGCTTTGCTACGCTGGACTAATATGTAATCTGGAAGGAAAGCAGATTCGATCAACAGAGTGACTAGGAGTTAGCATGCAAAAAGCAGTACAAGTTGAACAGCCTCTCCCTGTTCTGAGGTGCGCAACTGACACTCACAGCACCTTCAAGATTGCACAACATGACAAGACTGTGGACTGTGGTTCTGCCATGCTTGTGGCTCACAATGTGGAGTGATGGTAATTTCACTTTGTGATTGCCAAAGGGAATCAAGTGGATGCCACAAGTTGAACAGCCACCAGCGTGGTGAAGGCGCTAGACACCAGACACCAGTTCATGGGCGTGGGTGCTGCTTATTGTCAGAGGCCGCGCTCTTGTCACCCAGGAAGGAGGGATGTTGCTCAACTGGAGGAGCGTGCACCTTGCCCTTACCTTCGACACAAGGAGTGTCAACGTCCTCAGTGCTGTCAGGATCTTCCTTCACAAGCACATCCACACGTCCATTGTCCAAGGTTTGCTGCACCTTCTTGAAGAGCTCTTGCGGTCCAAGCAGACTGTTGCTTGCGCCTTGCTTTAAGGAGGGCAGTGAGGGACCGGCTTCATCCTGTGGGTCGGGGTTGTTGAGCAGGTCCTCAACCAGCGTGTACATAGCCAGCATCTCAGCAAGCCTCACTTTGTTGTTGTGATGATTGCTAAGAGCCACGCAGTGCTTGCAAAGTTTTGCAATGCTGTCCATGAGAAAGTTGGACATCCATTCTGGGAGGTGCTTCTTAAAACTCTCGCCGCGCTCCACAAGGATCTTGAAGGCGGTGAAAGGCTTCTCCTCTGGTTTGGTCTGAGTTCTGTCCATTGTGTCTATGTTCCTACTAGCAACCGTTGTTCGATTCTTGTGGTAGTGTCATAGCTTGCAACCGGTGTAGTGCGCATTGGCTGAGCTTGCAGGCCACGCGCTTGGAGGTCTGAGGTGGCCAAGCTGGTTGGCAAGCTAGCCATTACTGCTAGGAGGGTTTGGAGTGCTTGCGCAACTCCCATAGGTGATGTGATATATGTATGATACAGGCCAGACCAGCCTCTGGTACACAATCTAGGTACTGCTTGTTGTGTGAGAGGCATTGCCACTGGTTACCCACGCAATGTGCATCAGCTGAGCTTGCGGGCCTGAGACAAGGTTAGCTTGATCAGGAATCCTGGGCAAGGGTGAGCAATGATCAGATGACATTGTTGACTGGGAGGGTAATGCATGACTTGGCACAGTGATAGGCTGTGAAGCCAGCGCTGGACTAGCTGGTATCATTTGCTGCAAGACCAAAGAAGCTGCAACACCGTAGTTGGGGCTAGCTTTAGGGTTAGCCAACCCAGACAAGGATGCTATGGTGGCTAGCAGCCCAAAAAGCGCCGCGCAGATTCAAAAGATCCAACAACTCGACGTGAAGAGACAGGCAAAGAACGCCAGGGTCGTCTCTGCTACAAGGCATAAAAGTACACAAAGTATCAGACCAGGTTTTGAGTATCAAAGCAAGCTGAGTGGATGGCAGCAAGAAGCTTGTGGCCTGCGTTTCACCAAGTGAGGCGCCGCCTGCGCAACAGAGGTCCTATCCCATAGGGCTCAAGAGCATCAACAGTCCAAGGACAAGATGGCTGAGGTTCTTTGGGCTCTCTCCCAGAAGGCTGAGCAGCTCCCCTCAGAGCATCAAGCTTTGATTGCAGGCAATTTAGAGTAACTGCAAGAGATCTCTTGCCGCAATGCTCTCCAGACAGAGCGCACTTACAAGATGCTTGAAGGCATGCAGCTTGGGAAAATGATGAGTGTGCATCGCAATGGCAAGTGTGCATTGTGATGGCAAGTGTGCATCGCGTATGCAATGTATGACACACTGTCCAATCATACACGCTGGCCAAATCTTTGGCCATCTTCTCCTGTTTCCATGCAGCTTGAGGGTGTCAAGGCCCGTGCAACTATGGATGGATTACCTTTCATCCCTGACACCTGTGACTGCAAGTCCGACACAGACAGATTCAATCTGTGGACACAAATCACACCTGTGAGTATCTGTCAGTCAGTCAAGGGGAAGGTCATGGTATTCAAAAGGGGGAGGTGACACGTACACTGAAGACTGAAGAGGGGCGCGCGCGCTGCGACAGTATCTGAGCTCCAATAAACCAATGCTCCTCCATCAACTATCTTCACTTTGGCTGACAGACTCCGCACGTGTGCACTCTCAGGCAAAATGGATCAAGTCTTACAAGGAGTGCTTGGACAAGTCTGCAGCGGACAACAAGACACCTGCAAGCCCCCTTGGTCTGAGTCTGTCTGTTGCTGGACCATCTAGGCAACAGGACTCTGCGCCTCCTAGAGGCCCTTCAATGGAGAAGCTCGAGTGCAGACGCTCAGCAAGCGCCCTGGCAAGCAAATTCAACTCCATCAGAGCGGGCGGAGGCGGTAAGGATTTCTTTGCAAATCGCAAGAAGTCAGGCTCTTTGGTGGTCACAAGCGTCAGGCCTCAAATTTGCCGATGTTGAACAGTGCGGTTTGGCGCAAATTGACAGAAAAGCTTTGTATAGACGAGTAAAACTGACAATTTGCCATTCAGATCCGCATGATACCTGCGGAGGAAAGCTTGTGAAGAGTGCAGACAAGGTTAAGGGACAAGAAGAGGAAGAGGGAGAGCGAGTGCATCTGACAGCTGGCCCATCTTCTGGATTGTTGAAGATAGAAAGGAAGATGACAAGGGCAAGTGCCTGTGTGGGAGAGTGTAGGGGAGGGGAGCAAAGGTGAAAAGGATGGAGGAGAGGGGATGGGAGAGCGAGCAAGCCGCACGTGTGCTGCTTGCGCGACTGTTGGCAATCTCTTCCTTGGACATCCTGTGTCTGACTGCTCCATAAACTCTGGCCTCTTCCAGACCAAATTCGAATGCTTGGACAATCAGAGCATAATTTTCTCTGCGCGCTTGGTGCCACTTTGCCATGAAAATCTCCCTTCTCTCACTGGCACACAAAAGGGGCTGAAGATTTGGTGCATTGGCCAGAATCGCCTCAAGCTGGTCTCGAGAAGGATTTGTGGAGGTTGTGCGCTTGCAAAAGGTGCCGAAATTGTTCGGGCACTTGTTGGTGTAGGCAAAGTCCTTCATCGACACAGCTGACAATTGCTGATCTGCAGGAGCATTGGGTGTAAGTCAGACAAGGTGGTGGTAAGAAGCTACCAAGTCAACAACACAATGGATGTTTTCTCTAAGTACATATAGGGGCAATGACGTGCATGATGCACAGTCACGTGTCATACATTGGGCATGATGTACTTGAGCATGTAGTTGACGCTTGCGCTGTGGAACTCCCTGTTCATGTGAGCACGGCTTTTTGAGCCAGGATCCGCTTCTGACTCTTTGCGCAGCTCCGCTAGCTCCTCCTGACGAGCAGTCTTCTCTTCCTCCAGGGTCACAATCTTCTCGCCTTGGGACTTCGCACCAGCAGGTCCACAGCCCTCCACAGATCCTTGATCTGGGCCCTGCGGTCTTGCACGCGGCAAGGGAGACCGGAGGATTGGCTGAGATTGGATACACCATCATAGCTATGTCCAGGGAGCAAACTGCGTTGAGTGCCAGCAATGCTGCTTGGTCCTTGGGGAATGACGACGGCGGCACAAGCCAAAATGCAATTGGCATTCCTCACCCCTGCCGCTGCAATGGCCATTGGATTGGATGTCCGAGTAGGAAGACTGTAACATGATGAGATGGCAACAGCAGATAGACGAGGTGGTGAGTAGGCGGAGAAGGGAGTAGGCAGAGAAGGGAGTAGGTGGAGAAAGGCAGAATTGGGGCGTGGGTGTCCATTGAATCAAGGGGAAAGCAAGTGCGAGCGTGCTATTGAAGCTGATGCGGATGTCTGGTGCTGCTGCTCTCACTTACCGCACAAGCAGAGAAGAGCAAGGTCCACTGCGCTTTGAAGGTGTCTACAGACTCGCACAGAGCTCTTCAATTTCAACCGCTTGCGCCTCAAATTGGGTTTGTGAGTCGGAGTGTGCAATGTCAAAATCTGAACAAAGACGCTGGAGGTTACGGTGTTGGCATAACAAGCTCATGCAGCAGGACAGAGCAATGCGCGCGGTACAGCTGAAGCTCAGTGAGCTTGGAGCGGGAGAATGCACCTGCTTCTGCCAATGCCAGCTCCTGATGCGTGTAGGTCAGCTCGTTGTACAACTCTTTGTTGATGCGCAGGAACACCAAGAGATGATTGAGAGCTCAATGATCACTGCGCTGAAGCAACTGCTGGACGCTACAGAGCTGGCTCAGGGTGTTGGCCAAAGTTACAGGACAAATGTGGAGAGCAGTCACTCCTTTGCGCTCCCAGGTACCCTGCTTCTCACTTCCTTCCTGTCGCTCTGCAGGGCTACGTCCTGCCCACCAATGCTGTCTGCGCAGAGCCCGACACACTCCTGACCAACTCCCCTGCGCTTTGAGTATCATCACCACGCGCATCGCCTCTACTTGACTTGCTGGAAGGAGTGTACAACTGGGCCAATGCGTATGCGACAGATCCAAATGCTCCCTCTGATGTTTGCTGCAGCACCAAAGAGATTGCCTGGATGGCTGACAAGTGCACTGTGGCATGCAGAGCTGAGCTCAAAGCTGTCTTCTTCAACCAGGCTGTAGGCATGACTGGGTGCGTGGCAGAAAGTTGCTGCGCCTGCGCTGCGGTCAGCTGTTATTGCTTCCATCTGCCTGTAGCTGCTCAAAGTACACAGACACAGATAGTACAATCCGCTTGATTCAAAGACCGCCGCACACAGAGCATCCCAGCCAAGTACAATGTTGAGCTTGTACTGCTCTGCGTACGGAGCACACTTGCGCCATGAGAGCCATTCCTCATGCTGTGCTGAGAAGTTGTGCACGCAGAATTTGAGGCCGATTGGCTCAGGTTTGCGCAGTGGTACTGCCTTGGCTCCCTTCCAGGTACTGCGCGCAGTGAAGCGCAAGGAGAGGGATTGCTCCGATGTGCACCAGGCCATGAGCTTCTGGACAGACCCAGGCGCTATGTAATGGTGCACATGGCCAGTCATGAACCCTACTGCAACCTTCACAGGTCGACAAGCCCCAACAACCAGCTCGGTTTGGCAGGCAGACACAATCCCCGCAGGCAGGTGTTGGCTGAGCTTTGGGGAGTGGTACTACAAGCAGGGCAGCAAAATCTTGGTTTGTTGTCTGCAGAGGCAATAACAGAAGCTTTTCAGATGCTTTTGGTTTGCTGGAGGAGGCGGTGGCTTGGCAAGCCTCCATCTTCCCAGAAGCGTACCAGAGTACGCCCAAGCTGCACGAGGCGCACCTTGGCAATCTGGCCCATCCAGAGCATCTTGGCAAGTGGAGCAACTGCTACAAGCACCTGGCCATGACAGTCAACAGTTTTGATGCTCAGGAGGACGAGAACAGTAGTCTACCTATTGTCAAATTTTGCTGGTCTGGTTACCGCGCGGGTGCGTCATCTGTTGCCTCAAGCTCTCTTCTTCAAGGAGAAGCAGCTCTGCAGCTCAAAGCAGAGATTGTCCACACATGCTGGACAGATGTGGTCGCCTTTGGATGGACACTGTATCATCAGCCTGCACTTGACTATCACGGTGGACACCCCACAGGACGCGCAACTAGCTTGGAAGACTTGGTGCCCTGCTGGCGCATACTCCATCAGCAAGGTCTTCAAGCCGTGCTGCTTGATGTGGATGGACAAGGTCACTGCGGGTATTGTGCAGCTGCTTTACAGGTGTATGGCAATCCGCATGCCTGGCGCCTGGTCAGAATGACCCTACCTGAGCACCTCGATGCCCACCAAGGTCAAGTCCATCTATGTGAACACCTCATGCCCAACGGACGCTGCGCTGTGCAGTTGCTAGATGCACCCTGTGCTCGTCTTTGTATCATTGCTGATGCTGAATCCTCATCACTGTCTTTGTTGGACCTTCCAAGTGTTGGATTTGCATTTGCTGGATTTGCGTTATTTGCGTTTGCTGGATATGTGTGTGCCTTCTTATCATTGCATGTACCAATAGCGTTGTCACGGCCAGGAATTCACAGATTTGCTTGAAATTGTCTCGCACGTGATGTGTGGGCCTTAATTTCTGTGCACTTAGTACGGATCTCTTGGAAGTATCTGGTGAGAGTGAGGATTGGTGTCAGTAATCTAAATCGAGGTGCGGTCACTTTGCGCATGGCACATACAGGGAATGCGCAGGGGACCACAGCAAAGCAGGCAGGCACTCAAAGGCGCTGTCAATAGCGCGTGCGCCCATCTAGATACATAACTCGCCTTGAGGTCAACTTTAGCTATGACTCGATATAGCGGCTTTTTGAGACCGCGTCGGATTCACATATCATGAACGCTGCTTTCTGTCAGCTACCTGCCATTCTTCGTCCGCAGTTGGGCGGAGTCCCGTGCTGCGCGATAATCTCGAGCCCATTGAAGGGGGGCGCAGAACATGGCTCACATTGCCAGTCTACAGCTACGGATGCATTGGGTATCATGATGAGAGGAGCAAAGATGAAGAATACATGGCGAATCAGAAACAATCAACGACCCAATGACCGCTGCGCTGGAGAGGCGGGATTCCGCGCAGACATCTCATCGTCTACGGACTCCAGTGTGGGAATTTTGTGCAGCTCGAGCGTACCCTCCCTTGCTGAAATTAGGAGCGCTGCCCAAGTCGAGTCCCAAAGCAGGTGCAGCAAAGTCGTCGGCAGGGTGAAGGGTCTGGTCCGAGTCCGGCGCTGAGACCTGATCACCCCCCTCGGCCGCAATTTCGACGGCCAGCGGATTTCGCATGGCTCCGGGCTCCAGCTGGAGCCAGCTGGCAGAGGTGGAGCAGATGTGCGTATCCAGTCCGTGTGCTTTGGCGTACGCTTGCGTGATACCTCCATCTGCTCTTTCGACATGCTTTGGCAGCTCACTGTTGGCTGCGGCGCTGTCCTGAGGTGAAGTTGTGACTGCAGCGAGCGAAGGTGGAGGTAGCGCCACAGTCAACTGAGCGTCTCCAGGCAAGAAGCTCAAAGCGCATAAGAGGGTCGCGCGTATCCACACTGGTGCATCGAACAAAGACAATGTAGACCCAGCCGTGAGCTGCATGGGATCAAAGCGAGGCGATCGATTTTGGCCTCGACTCCGACGTTTGGCAGCTGGACCTCCTGAAGAGTCAAATGTTGGAGAGCGGACAGTAGGACTCCCCGTCGAGCTGCCCTTGCTCTTGCTAGAGTCAAAGGATCTGCGAGTTGCTCCGCTCTGGGTGAGGTTGGGTACCAGCGTATCGGATTTGACGTGGTTTCCCGTGCGCTGGAGAGGTGACGCTTGCTTATCGGCCTCCGCACATGCTTCGCGCAGCAGTTCTGCTTCGTCCAAAGTGATGGAAGGCGGTGCTGTGGCTTGCGGTACCAAGCCCGCGCTAGGCATTGACCCGTCAGGCGCTGGTGAAGCGAACCTGTCTTCGAGAAAGCGGGTGGCCTTGCGCGCGGCTGCATTCAGGGGGTGTTGGCCTTTCTTCAAGATGTCCAGAGTGGAAACGACTGTGAGGCAGCGCATGGAATCGTGAGTCGAGCAGCAAGCCAAGCCGCATCGCTTGATCCAACCACGCACCTTCTGTCGGCACAATGCAGCGCACGTCGGACGTCTTGAGCCAATCGTGTACGCTCCTGAGCGAGTAGATGAGCACGCTTGCGTCCAAAATGTACGTCTTGACACTCGCGCGACGTGAATGATCAAAAAGCGCACTTTGAGGTTGAGTCGCGGACGAATCGCCGCGACTGCTGCGCAGAGGCTCTTTGCTGGCCGTAGAGCTGTGACGTCCTTCACCTGGCCGCGTGTTTGCCTCTCTGCCGAGCGAGCGAGCTGTGGCCGGGGCCGAAGATGAAGCGCTTCGACTGTACTCCAAATCGTCCACCTGTCCTTCTAGCTGACGCACACGATGCTGAAGGAAGAGAGCGCCCATCTGTTGACACAATGATTTTTGTTTGATGCTCTTCATTCCAGTCGAGGTGTGGACAGGGGCTCAGGTTAGCGATGGAACTGACAAGACACGCGCGCGGGCGTCGCAGGGGACTCTGCTCACCTTTTCTTGAGGTTCCACAGCAGCATCTCTCTCCTCGCCACTAGCCCTTGCTGGCCCTTGCTTTTTGGCCCCTTGAGCGCTCTCATTCGCATGCTTCTCCTCCGCCTGAATTTGCGCTCGGACGGGCGGAGGCAGCCTGACGCTGGTCAAAGGAACGGGTGGCATCCTGACCGCTCTCCAACGCGTCCTGCCAGGGATGCTGGCGATTTGCTGCTTGGGGAAACGGAGGACACAGAAGTCGGGCGTGAATGCTGATCCCGAGGGAAGTGTTTAGGGTCATCGGCTAGTCATGGGTTCGTCATCGTCTCTGGGATGGAGTTCCACTCGGTTGCATGCAGTCACTGAGGGATGCGTGAGGTGGGTGGTGCTAGGGCGGAAGGCAGCAGCAAAGAGGTGGATAACGATGTACCATGTGACGATGCGGACGATGTCAAGCGGATGGATCTGTCATTCGCTGAAGCAGAGCATGGATCAGCGCTGTTGAAGTGAGAGGGAGAAGGACACGCTGATGATTGTGATTGATTGACAGATGCTTGCTTGCATGCTCGCTCGCTCACCCTTGGGCGTGCCTGACTGACGCTCGACTCATGCGCGCGCGTGCGTGCAGGATGAGTCACGCAAGTAACGAGCGTGAGCGCATTGCATTCACGCGCTCGTCCGTGTGTGCTCAGATGCCCCACCCACCCACGCCTCCAATTGCGCCGCCGCCAAGTGGAGGCAGAGATCCGGTTTCAGTCAAAGTCAAGAGTTGCGAGGTGCGAGTGCCAGTCACGTGAGTGCTGCGTAAGCTTTCGAGGGAGCACTTGTGACTTTGAACCTTCTCCCTCTTCTCTTCGTCGGACAGACGCGGACGCTCGAACTACTTTGCCAAGAGCATATCATCAAGTTGTCCATCCATGGCCACATGGCATCTCACCCTCACCCGCGAGGGAGAGTTTTGAGTGAAAGACGTGAGTGTGAGTTGCGCAGCAGACGCGCGGTTGCTTTGCACAGCCGCGATCGCATGATTTTGCTCAGCGCGCGCGCGCGCGCGTGTGCGAACGCGTCTCAGCGCTGACTCAGCATCAGCGATGAGTTACAGTCTTGAGTCACGAGCAGTCTTGAATGAGTCACTGAGTCAGGTCCGGCTGAGCGCAGACTCTGCAAGCCACGCTAAAGGACACCTGATTCTAAAGAGACACCGCCTCGAAGCAAAGCATAACCACAATCAGGCGCGGTATCAAAGCATCAATTGCAATCTGTTGCACACTCATCATTCGACGATCACGAGCTCGGCACCGAACGCGCGTTGACAGCTCGTCAGTCGTGGGCTCCCCACACGACATGTGGCGTGTGATCTCTGTGCGTGGCGTGCTCAAAATAGGAGGCCACCGAGAAGCAGACCGCCCATGAGACCACCAGCGATGGGCAGACCCATGCCTCCTCCATATCCGTATCCAGGTCTGCGTCGATAGGGGCCGTACGGTGCGGCGTAAGTTCCGGGTCCGTATGGATATGCGGTCTCTGTCTGGTAAGGCGTGTAACCCAAGGATGGTGCAGCGTACGGGTCCATGCTGGGTGGAGGCTGAGCAAAAATGTCTCTGCCCCTCTGATCCCGACCCAGCAGCTGCGGCTGACCAGTCTGCGCAGCTCGATGAAGCGCAGCTCGAATGGCTTGATGCTGCCTGTACGCTTCCTCTTCCGCTTCCCTCTGCTTGCGACGCTTCTCCACGCGCTCCGCATGCGTCGTCCCCGTCATCTTGTTCTTCATTGTTTGTCCAAACTTTTTCACGCCTGTTGCAGCCGGCTTGCTACCGCTCTGCGCATCCTGATTCGCCGAGTGGCTACCCATCGTCTCGTGCTGACGCGTTCCCGAAGCGCTTGCACTCGGCCCTGCATTCGGATCGGCGCGTGAACCTTCCTCATCCGTGGTCTCATCCACCGTGTGGTATCCGCTGAGTCTCTTGCTCGCCAGCACCTCGGGCTCCTTGGACCCTTTGCCGCGATGCGCATTCTTATACTGCTCATCATCCAGAGGGTGCTCCCAGATGGAGCGAGGCGGATTAACAGTTGTGTCGACGTAAAAGTGATGCCGGTTGCGCGGATCGTATTGTCGTACCCAGCCTTGGGGCAGCGGTCTGCCCAGATCCTCCATGGATCGTCGATCTTGAGCAGGAATCAGCGAAGGTCGTCGACTGGGCGTGGACGATGCACTGTTAGGATTGGCACCTCCAGCGCGTGCTGGTGCAGTAGCCGCAGCATCGTAAGAGGGTGGCGCATCGGGTGGCACACTGGTCGAGGTCATGGTCAGCACCAAGGTGAGCAAGTGTGAAGGGGGGGGGGGGGGGGGGGGGGGAGCTCTGCGCCGCGTGGCGACAGATTCAAGTAGCGATCAGGAGTCCGCGGCGGTGTCGCGTGTCCAGAATCGTTGTTGGCTTGGGGGAGGACTGGTAATTTTAGCAAGTGGACAGGGATGGTAGTCCCCAACAGCTGGTTCAAGGTGGCGAGTCCAGCGTTACGGTCGATCTGGGAGGCGTTGAGGTGGGAGTGCAAGGATGCCAAGTCGTGAGTGGTTCAAGCGACTCGCGCCACTCGTCACTTTCCCGGCTCCATGATGTGGAGGTGCTGCGCCGCGCGAGCCTTCCACGCCGCCTCGATTCACGTGATTGCTGCATGCTGGCTGACATTTACAACAATCAATTTTTGATTGAATCTGAGACGCTTTGCCAGTCATGTGTCAAGAGTCAAGAGTTTGAAGCCTGATAATCACGATGATCATGAGTTGGAGTGAGTGTCAGCAGAGTCAGTCAAGTCAGCTCACGCGAGCGATCACACGCAGCTCTTTGGCTTGCCTCGATCCACGGCGACCATAATCAAAAATCGCAATCGATTCATGACTGCGAACGAGACGAGACAAGGAATCTGTGTTGCAGCGCAGGTTATCAGTCTGAATTGCCCATTGCCTGCAGCCTCAAACATCTCGTGCCGCCGGATGCCGGACAATTAGCTCAGCTTACACGGCAGTCGCGCGGTGCTCGAGCGTTTTTGAGTTTTTAGGGGAAAGCATCAGCTGATGGGGGGGGTGGCGCGATCAGGATGGACATCCAGTGATTTGTGTGTCAAATAATAGCATGGCATATCGACGCACAAGCTCACAACGAGTAAAACGTGCAGGAAAGCAGATACTGTAGTAGATGATTACGACTGAAACGTGAATGGCGCAATCGTGAATCGATCGATGCCCACCCTCTGCTGCCGAAGCCGCTTACGGCCGCAAGGGTCAAGCAGTCACGAATGCCGTGACAGCTCAGCAGGCCTTACAAATCAAGCACAATCACCAAGTCTGGATAAGCCGGACCCGTGTAAATCGCCTACGATTCTGACTGGAGAGGCAGCTTTGCTCGACCTCGTCACACAGCATCGTGAATGACGCAACTTGATGGCCCTCCTGAATGTCGACGTGACACGATGCTGCTGGAACCTCTCTCGCAAACGATTATAAAACACGAGCGAGCAAGTCCAAATCGCTTTTGCCGACCGCTTTCCCCGACTTGCCCTAGTTTCTTCACCATCCGCGCAAGCAGTTGGCGCGCAAAGTATATTCGAAGTCCACGCCACCACGGTCAATCGCATCAAGATGACTACCGATCAATACACACCCACCTACATCCTCGTCACCGGCGCAAACGGTCTCTTGGGCGCAGCCATCATCCAATCTCTGCTGGACAAGAAGCTACGCGTTCGAGGCACCGTTCGCTCTCAGCAGCGTGTAGACGAACTGAAAGCCGCTTTTGCAGAGTACGACGAGACGCGTTTAGACTACGTCATTGTGCCCGAAATTACCGCCCAAGGGGCATATAATGAGGCTGTGCAGGGTGGTATCGACGGCATCATCCACACCACGTCTCCACTTCCAACGCACTTCAAAGAGAGCATTGCTGCGACGGGTGAGTGGATAGATTGACGATGCGCCGGAGGAAAACATTCGGCTCACGGCTCTAGGTTTTGCGTGCCTCCAGGCAATGCGAAAAGCGGCCTGGACTCTGCGATTGAGGCTGCCAAAGGCATCGTATCTAGTGCAGTCGAGACTGGCACAGTCAAGCATGTGAGCACGAGCGAGCCATGCGGAAAAGCGGGACATGAAGTATAAACTCACATCGGACTGTCACACCTTCACACTTCCAGCTCGTCTTGACATCTTCGGTAGGCGCTCTCACAACCTCCTGGATTGATGAGCGCAACACCACCCTGGGCGCATCAGACTATGGCAAAGCGACCTACGAGCAGATCGCAGTGTCCGACGATCCCAGCATCTCCTATAAGGCCTCCAAGGCGCTCGCGGAAAAGGCTGCGTGGGCGACGCTGAAAGCAGCTGGCGATCCGTTCCGATTGACGACCATCTTGCCTGGTGCAGTCATCGGACCCGCACGAATCGGACCTCCCACGACCAGCACAAACGCGATCGCATACAGCTTGGCAACCCAAAAGTCTACCGCTAATCCCATCACCAAAGTGCCGGCTTACTGGCTGCCCTGGGTAACCTTGCCAGAGATTGTCGATGCACACGTCACAGCCCTTGTGACGCCCTCGAGCTCTGGCAAGCGCTATGTGCTAGCAGGCAGAAATGTCACGAACTCGGAATTCCGCGACATCCTTCTCAAAAGCGTGCCAGGTGCCAAATCCGAAAACACAGTCGAGGAGACTTTCGACGAGAGCACCGTCAAGTGGGATCAACAGCTCGCACTGGACGAACTCCTTCGCAAGCCCAAGTATGATGATATCACTCCAATCACAGCGTCTGTCCTCAAAGCGATAGCTACGGCTCCAACTGCCGCTTGAAAGACCAGGCGATTCACCCGCACGGTAAAGTCCACAGGCTGCTCACCGGGACGTGTAGCAGGCAGACAACCATATCTGTATGTTCTTGTGCGCCTAAACTTTGTTTAGTCAAAGGGTTGCTACAGCGGCTCTCTGCGTTGGAAAAGATCTTTTCCCGTCTGGCGCTTGTCCCACCCAGTCTGACTTGCTTTCGGCTCGGACGACCTAGAGGTATCAGCGCAGCGCAGCCTTCATTTTGAGCCATTGCGAATTGCGCTGTGACCCAGACTCATGACACTACGAGCTTTTCGACGGTCAAGTAAAACATGATGTAGCAGCAGACTAAGACAAAGCTCGTCGGGTCTCCTGGTCGTGCTCACTGTTGTAAGTAAAACAGAGCTTCGCGGCATGCATTCGACATAAGCTCTATCCTGAGTCGGACCTTACGAATGTGCGGCAACGCTAGACCCACATTGATTGTGACAAAAGGATGGCAGACGAAAGGCTTGGAGGCGAAACTGAGGTGCGCTTGGCTGCACACCACAAAGCGGGACCACATAGCAGCCGCACAGCAGCTGATCTTTGCGGTGACGCTGGTGCAGTAAACCTGTGTACCAAAGCGCTTCCGTTGACTTGCGCTGGATTGACATGATGGTTTAACCAAAATCTGAGCTTGGCACGCATGGCATTTTACACGACGGGAAAAATGAGAATTGAGGGTCAGTCGCTGTCAGAGTGGACAATACGATCAGTGTGGTTGGGTTTGGCGCAGAACAAGGTGTTTGTCATCAGTATACTGGTCTTCAGTGGCAAATTGGGCAAACAGAAACAGGCCGCTCTCATTTGCCTCCTCCTCTGCGCTTCTGATTGGCCAGTACCCAACTAAAGTTGCTTGCAGTTGGAATTTGCAGAGCGTAATTTGCGAGGCAAATAGATCTGATTGGTCCGTTCGGTGCTGCTGGGCATACTTGATGAAAGCTGCTTGCAGCTTTGTTCTGTGTGCCTTCATGACAGCTTGAGGCTCCTGCCACCGTCGTCCAAGCATCTCGACAAGAGCGGTCACAAGGTGCTAGAATTTGGTAGAGCCTTCAGGTCTCGCGCTGGGGGGTTACAGCTGCTTGAGGACGAGGTGACTGGGCAAATTCGGCGCAATTTCTTCGCAGCTCTCTGGTTCCCAGCTCGTTCCCAGCTCAAAGGAGACCTCAAGTAGTGACGAGAGGACGCATAATTGCTCGCAGAAGCAAGAATGGTATGTTTGGTGTGTTAGCATCCGATGATTCGAAAGCTGAACGGGGCAGGCTATTTGTTGGCGGGATCAAGACCAGAGATGCTACTCGCTCTCAGATTCTGAGCCAAGTGTATCAACGTGCTCACTAATGTCCAGGAAAATACTCAAACGCGAGATTGAAAACGGTGACTGTCTGTCTACATGTAGCCTCGACTAGCACTGCAACATCGTGCCACAGCTCATTCCGTTGATCCTGTTTCAACGAAGTGTCAGTAAATCATCGTCTGGCTGTCTCAGAGTTCAGCACCCTACTCAGATTATGACGCATGGTTTGGTAAATTAGTTGGCGAGTGCAGAGCTGAGTAGCTAGGTGCTTGATCACGACAAAAGGGCTTAATTGCATCGCAGCAACGCCAAGCACGCGAAACCACTTGGAATCACGCATACGTTTTTCCGGCCCTGAACCGCTATAAGATCTTGCTTGGGCTAGTTCGCGACTCTCGAAGGTTGTTTTTTTTTTTTTCTTGTCGACCCTCGCAGCATCTTACTTTACTAACGGGGGAATTCAGTACAAGATCTGGTCCCAATGCCGAGATGTCTTGCGAGCACTCATCTCCTGATTTTTGGAGTCATGCACAGCGCATAGCAACCAAAGATGTTCTAGGACCCAGTCCTACAGAATGCCGATAATGAACAAGGCCATAGCGTGCAGTTTCTGAAAGCCTACATCTATTCTATGAATGAGCCCCGTCATGCGTAATGTAATAACTTTGGTCTGACTACCTCACATTCCATCCAATCAACTATCTTGGAGAGATCGTCTCAAATTCTTGAGAGTGTGTGAATGGTCTTGGGTCCTTTGTCAGTACATTTCCGAACTTTGATTCTGCAAGGTTCATGCATGGACCGCTGAATTTTTACTGGTCAAATAATGCGGGCATCGTCTTCTCACGTGTAGATTCATAGCTTCAACAAGTATGCCGATGCATCTCGACGTGTCTCGAAGTCGATGCCAAGCTCGTCAGCCGCGGCGTCTAGCATCACGAAAGATGTTCTTGAATGTGGCTGCGATGCTCGTCAACTCGTTCTTCCCAAACTTTCACGCGTCTTTTCAGCACAATGCAGGCTCACGCTTAGAGAGAAATTTAACGGTCGTACGCGTTGGCCGGGTCGAAGGCACTGAAGAGAGAGCTTTACTTCTCCTGACTACACCGTGGACTAATAAAACCCATAGCAATGGTGCCACTTTGTTCAAGGGCCAATTCCTGCGACACATAGCATTTAGTTTCGATATTCCAAGCCGCTTTGAACGCATCGTCACTAGCGAAATCAGGACGTACATTGATCTCGCGGTCTCGGCTAGCACTCTTTGGACACGATATCCAGTCTGGCGTGTCTGCCTCTGTAGCACACCTGGCAAAGCGTCTCTTGGTGGCGCAAAAGAGTCGAATAAGAAAAGGAATACAAATTGACTCTCTTCGTCCAACTAAATCGACCGTCGAAAGATGATCCCCCGACTTGGCGTTATGCATTTGTGAAAGCAGAAGCGGTCCTCTGTCTATTTATGCAGCTTTCAGTGGGCGAATCGAACTTTAGACGGATGGTCCAGAGAGAAGACAGTTTTTTTTTCACTCAGAAACAATGACATTGTAATTTTCCCATCTCAAGAAATGGTTCGATTAGATGGCGAGGGGTGTATATGATGCGCTAAACTCGCGTTCATGTTCAGTGCAAGGACAGAGCAACACAAAATTTCAGAATGCACAGAGCCGTTCCAGTCTTGTATGATATGCCAGTTGTTCTACATTGAGGATGGTAGACAAACAATGAGAATTGATATGATCTTAGACATCGAAAGCAAAGATCCATCAATCCTCGCTTGAATTCTGAGTGGACATTGAGCCACACACCCAGTCATGAGGCAATGCATCGACATCATTTGCGTGGTGAGAGAACCACCAAACGCTGTAAGGCTGGAGACAGTTTTCAATCAACTACTGGCTGTGAAATGTGTTCGCACAACTTTTGACACGTCTTTTTCGTCCAGCTTGTGACGCGTGTGAGAACAAAGTTGCAAGCAAGGCTAAACCGTAGCTTTATGCTGCTCGATGACGCTCCACTACCCCGCCGTTCATTGAGGTCTGAAGCCCTCTTTTCCTTCAAAATTTCCCGCAAAAGTAGGAGCATTGATTTGTGCGTCTTTGGCACCAAATGACTCTGTAATGACTCTGCAATACAGAGCTGCATCGGCAAGACGCAAGTGCCCACAACACTTCTGCGTGCTGCTGTGAGCCTGCAACGGCAGTATCATGGCTTTGTCTGCGTACGCATAAACAATTTACAACCGCATACATTGCATTCTGACCCACAGAGGCACAAGCAAAAAGACGTCAAGCTTCATACAGGTAGGAGCATCCAGGCCAATCTCGGTCAGATAGCCGGTGGAAGAAGAGGTGATTGTTGGGTTCGAGGGGCAAAAGTGCAAAATGTCAGCAGGTTGTTGACGAGCACTCAAGATCTCACAGACCTATCCTTTTGCATGGCTGGTTCGTCTGCAAAGTCTGCTGCCAGCCACTACTTATGACTTGAGCACTCACGTTCGGCGTGCTCTGGTTCAAGTTGCGCACGTGTCACTTGACGTCAGGAAAGGGGTTAGTGAAGCTAGCTACTACTAGGTGCAGCAACGGGGTGGTCTATGACATCTTCGAAACGTTAGCGTACACACTATTTTCGGCAGCCAAGGGAAGCTCACTGCCAGCGTTAACAATGACCACGATCAGCGGGTGGCGAGGGGTTTTAGGCAGCTTGGGTACGCGTACACGTGTGACGGGTCTAGCATTCTGAAGCAGATGTGTACATGCACATAGGATCCTCCGAGCAGACTGACGTCCAGCGCAGCAACTTGGGCAGGTCGGCGATGTCCCCGCGCCAGGCATGCAGATGCTTGAGGAGGTAGCTGTAACAAGAACTGCTCTTTGATCTTGCTATGCCTTTGAAATACCAGGTGCTGTGGCCAGCCAGGAAGCAAGGACTTTGGAACTCTCCAGAATTCACTGCTTGGCCTGCGCAAATGGCAATCAAGATGTTCCCGTGGTGCGTCTTGCGGTGGTTCAGGTGCAAGCCACACAAGCAGTTGGTGGAAATGAGCATAGATTGCTTGAGTTGGGTGGAGATCTATGTATGTATGTATGTGCGCGATACATACGCGCGTCGCGCACGTAGTTACTCGAGGGTTTGAATGCAAGCCTTGCGGTCAGTGAGCTCCGTCTGCACATTTACAAGCTGGCTCTCAAGGGTTTGAATGCAAGCCACACGGTCAGTGAGCTCTGTCTGCACCTTTATGAGCTCCTTGCGCAAACGCTCCGGCTCGGCCAGATGGTCAGTGAGCTCCGTCTGCACCTTTACGAGCTGGCTCTCGAGGGTCTGTGGCGGTGGAGCTGGAGCAGCTTTTGCAGCTGGTGATAGCATCTTGATACCTGTCAAAGCAATCTGCAAACTCGAAGTCAGCATCTGAGGCCCTGTCAAAGTGATCAAACTCGAAGTCAGCATCTGAGGCCCCTGATGGCGAGGACTCCACAATTGAGCTCGATGTGTTGTCCATGCCGTTCGGCCACATCTGGTGCTGGACTGTCAGCACAAATAGTGACCATCATGCATCCGAACGCAACAGATTGAGTCTGACAAGAGGACCTTTGTGCTGTATAGCATTTCCCTGCCAAGTGAGGACCGTTTCCAAAGTTTCAAGCTATGTGGTGTTTAATATGCACAATCTGGCCCATTGTTGTCTGGTACTTACTTGGCTCAATGAGGATCAATCTTTAGCATGCACTGGCATTCACGCTGCCGCTGGAATGGTGCGCTGCAGAGAATGTGAAGCAGCTGCAAGCTGCCAGCAATTTGCCTGGCATACAGAGCCAGGCCACTGCCGGACCGAGAGAGATCTTGGCTTGTCTGTTGGTGAATGTAGAGCCGCAAATGCCAGCTGCACAGGTGCAGGCTTACACACAGCCAGGAGCAGTCATCAACCTTGCAAGCTGCTGGCTTCAAGTCTGTGGGCTGGGAACATGAGGTTCGTGTGCAACACCTTCATCAGCAACACCTTCTATTTGCTATTCACCTGGCCTGGCTGGACAGCCAAAGTCTAGCCACACATCAAATGTGCTTGCTGGCGCAGCAGGAAAAGTTGCTTGCTACTTTAGCAGAAGGAGCTGTCTCGATGGTGCGCTGACCGCCGATAGCATAGCCTGGATGTGCTTTATGCGCCATGTCATGGCCGCTGGTTGTCTGCCTGCAAAACGGAAGTCCTAGACATCTGATCAAAGATCGTTTCTCATACACGACCCCTGCCACCAAAGGGGAGCAAGGGCGTCATGGAGCTTCATGCAATCGGACTTGTGGCTGCGGCTTGTGTGACATTATATGCCAGACTGGGTACCTGAGATGTACAAGCTCTACTGAAAAGGTTTGCTTACAGAGACTGTACCGTGCTATCTCGATCTTTTTTTCCTGCGCTTTGTTGGGAGATTGTCATTCGCATCTAGAACAGCTGGGGCAATGCAAGCCCCATTTTCTGGGCTTTGTAGTCTATCGCACCGTGCAGTCGATGTGTTCGGGGTACGGCAAGTTGCTGACGGTCCATGAGACGCCTCCAATTACACATCCGTGGCGACGCTTTGGACCAGCCGTTTGCTCCGCCGAGCTTCCGAGGTCAAGATCTGCATGAATCTCCAAGTCGAGTCTACCACGCTCCTAGCGATGATGTTGTTCATGCTACGCGTGAGACATAGTGAGAGGTTCCTCTGCACGCTTGTAGTCAATCGTCTCCGCTTTCTCGCGCACCCCTTGTCTTTAAGACCTCTGTTGGCTCTACATCCACCATCACGAGAGGAGCCATTTGCGTGTGAGGCATTAAGCGTTGCTAGGTCATTCCTCGCATTTCTGCCATTCCTTCCCTCTTCTAGGTATCACCCAAATGCCACTTGTAGCGGCCTTTCCAGTCATTGCAACAGTGCGCAGAGTCGGCATTGCCAAGAAAAGTTACCTTGGCTGTCTTGTGGCGCGTGAGTTTTCTGTCGCCGGCAAGTAATGTAGTCGCTGGGCCGCTTGACCTTTGCTCTGATCTTCGCCACACTCCAAGTGACACCCGCTGCGGCCATATGTGCCCGAGATTGCCCAATGCCTTTCTGGCCTCGCCAGACTGGCCAAGCTTTGCGCTCGGTCCCTGTGGGTGTGTGGTCCAGAACAGTCGTTCATGCGCGGCTACACGAGAGCGTCAATACCACATTTGACGAGAGCGCGCTGGTGACAGCGAGCAGCACTGTTGATGTGAAAGATACCGAGCGAGGGCGAACACAGGAGCGTTCCGGCTCGGCGGAATACAGCATGTATTGATGTTATCTTCTTGAGTATCGAGCCCGAGCTGCGTCGTGTATTCATCCTGTTGTTCTCGCCGCCAATTCGACTGCCCAGAGCATCGATCAGACCACAAATACCACCATCACCAGTTGCCGCCCACCCACCCGGGAGTTTCACCCGTCGCCGGTCCGTGACCAGCTTCCCAACAGCTCTGGAAATTGCCATCTCCTCTCTTGTGGCGTTCGCACCACGTGTCAAGCTTTTTTCCAGGGTCTTCCTTATTGTACTGCTGTATAGCGTGCTTTTCTGCGAGAGACTTGGACCAATGACGGAAGCCGAGCTCAGCGGAGACGGTTGCACCTGCTGCGGCAGTCAAGCCTCTGCAGGATATGAAGACGCGCAATTAGTCTAGACACATCAGAACCATCGCTTTCGAGATCACTCACAGAGCCCACTTGAGACCAGTCTTGACTTTGCCGCCCACCTTTTTGACGCCTGTAGATCCCGCGCTGTGAGTGACAGGGATCAGGTCCCGCGGCAACAATGTCGGCGACGACGCAAGCTCGCCAGAAAGCGTCCGTGTATTGATGTGCCCGTAGGCATCATAATATGCCTTTCTTTTGCGAGTTCTACGAGAGACCTGGCTGCCCTCATAAGCAGCTGTAGCGGCTACGCCGGTCGCCGCCAGTCCGCTGTGAAGACGCGGCAAGTTTCGGAGGGGCGGCGGGAGAGGGTCAACGAGGCGCATATCTCTCGACCCGTTGATTTTCGGACTCACAAAGAGGTTCGAAGCGGGTGTCGCACGATAGCCCCCGTCACCTTTTGTAGACGAGATGCTGCCCTGGGAGAGGTGAGTGGCGAGCGTTGGTGCTCGTCGATTGCGACAGGTACGCTGGGGTATTGATTATGAAGTGTTGGCGTGGTCGGCGTTAGTGGGACCACTTGCATGTTGCTGCTGCTCGAAGTTCGTGATAGGCGCTGCTCCCTCGAAGACCCGACGCTGGAAGATTTGACGATGTGCGTACCATCATGACCCACGATCTTGGCCAGCTCAAGTCCCTCTTCGGCTCCGGGCAGACCTCGAACCACGAGAGTGGTCGCAAAAACTCTCGAAGAGCTCTTGGAAGAAGGCGAGACAGGCAAAGCGGCTGTTCGTGCGACCACGACGGCCGCAAGGAGCCATGCAAAAGATCTCTTGAACATGACTTGGTCCTTCCAGGCTCCAGGCGACCGGACGAGACGAGCGCGCGAATCTTAAGCGCGCTCTACAAAACAGGTTGCCCTTCTGATTCAAACGTCAGACCGGCTGACCGCTGTGACGAAACATGAAAATGGCGAGGACGCGGAAATTGTGAAAAAAAAAAAAGCATAGCGGGCCAATCTTGGGTCGACCGTGGCAAAGAATCCCATTTTTGTACTTGTGACGCGCTTCCTCCCCTCCGGCCTGGCACAAGACATCACAACAGACATGCTGACATCGCACTCGACGTTTGCTGCGGAAGCAAGCCCTTTGCCGCTGAGGACCCTCGCAGTGTGAAGAAGTGGCAACTCTTGTCGTACGCGGCGTGGCATCTGGGCGTTTACATTTTGGTGGCAAGGGAAAGCTGGGCCAGAGCATCGGGTCGTCGCTCATCAAGATGGCGCAAATCTTATCAAAGCGCGACCGCAACCACTTTCGAGATTCTGGAGATGAACTGAACATCTGGCTATGTAGTCTGCGCTTTGGCCACCGCATCCGGCCAAACTTGTGCCGCGCACAATGGAGAAGCGTGACATGGGTAGCAAGGCTGTTGACGGATCAGCTAGTCCACTCCTTCCACGCGGACAAGCTCTGAGCAAACGCGCTGGTGAAGCCCTGTGCCAAGGCAACGTTCGCGTGCAGCATCCAACAGCGTCCGAATCACGCTTTGACGTGTAAATGTGGGAGTTTGTTGGACATCTGTGTCCATCGCGGCGCATGTCGGCCTGATCGCGTGCGAGAAGTCTTGTGTTTCGGCGTCGCCACTTGCGCGGGCACGCTTCCATGGTGTTATGGCGGCGCAGCAGCAATTGTGCGCCATGGCTTCCGGCACAGGCGGCCAAATCACCAATGAACTCGATTTTGAGCTGCGATGCGCTCGGCGCTGTTTGCATGGGTCGCCATTCGTGATTGCACACAAACGCATTCCGAAGCGATGACCAACGTCAATGAAATTGAGACCGGGAACTGGTGTCCGCTGGCCGCGTGCGTGTTTCGAAGATTCCCGCCAGCCTAGATTGGATCTACCGATCCCAGCCGGTCAATATAGCGCCGTAAATGTAGCGCGCGTTCGTCAGATTTCAGAGTCAAACGTGGAAATGCCACGAGACCTACGCCTCTGCTGCGCTCCGAGACATCACGTCTTGAAAGATTGTCGCCACTTCTAGGTGACCATTGGCCTGCGATTCCCACCATACCGCCCACACCAAGTCTGCGTCGCGTAGCTTCATTGCTTCCAGCAGCTTCCTTGCGCTCTCAGAAATTGCCTTTGGCTGTCGTCGATCCAGGGCGCAAAGCAGTTGAGGCTGGTTGAGAATCGTCCAAGCCGTCGCGTCAGTCATGCGCACATTCATGTGCTTTGCCAGCGCAGCCATAGTCGAGGCCACGCTTTGCAGCAGGCGGCCAACTGTGCTGAACTCTGGAAAGAGTTGGACAGATTTGGTGCTGAGGGCAGGCAAGGTTTGGAGTCGCGGTGCATGTGGCGATGAAGAAGCATGTGCACCCAAAGGTGAGGCAAGGCTAAACGAGACAGGTCCTCGCTGTGCTGAGCGGCGGCTCTCCAAGGTTTGTAGGGTGGCGGCCACCTCGAGTAAGGCGTCTAGCCGGGGCCATACCTCCTCCACTATTTTCCTGCCAAGGAAGTCCGGCAAATGAGTGGCAACCTCCTCCATCAGCTTAGCACTCTCCACCCAGACGGTAGGATCTCTCTCCGTAAATCGATCGAGCAGCTGTTCACCACTCGCATTTCTTCGTGCTGGGGTCTGCAGTGTCACAGGTGAGCCCAGACGGGTCAACAGCACCGGCCACGCAGGATTGATGACTGCGAGTATCTCAGCGTGCCTTTCCTGTGGCGCAAGAATCGACACGCCCCGCCGCAGCAACCTCAAGACTGTCACGCGAAGCAGTGGCGAGGAGTGACTCAGGAACGGCACGCACTTTGCCAGGATATTGGACGTGACAGCTTGTGTGCGTGATGGGGCGTCGGGATTATCGTCCGGCCCCATCCGTTTTGCCTCTGCCGAATGTTCCATACCCGCGCCTGGCTCAAAGACCAGAGGTGGCTCTACATTGTTGTGGTTGTCGGAAGACTTGCGTCCACGATACCATCCTTCAAAAGACGCCAGCTCCGACTCAAAACTAGGCAACGTGTTGAGATTCGACGGTGCGCGCTGCTTTGTGCTTGTATTGGCCTTCTCGATGGCCATGACCTCAAGCATCCGATCTAGCAGCCCAAGGAGCCCATTGCAAAGCTCGTCGTAGCCATGAAAACGGTCCAGCGCATCCAAGACTTCGTCGACAGCATCTTCGACTAGCGGAAGCGCGTCCGAGCCTAGCAACCTCAGCACCTCGATGAGGACGAGCGGTGCAGTTTGGGCGCTGTTGAGCGGTGTCAACGTCTGATGAGCTGGAAGAAGAACTTTGTTGCCGTGATGTGCTCGAACCAGCTCGCGAGTCAGGTGGAACTTCTTTGCATCCTCTCCTGCGATTTCGCTCTGCATCCGTTCGGTGACTGCAGTGACCGCTTGCAGCTCTGGACCGAGTCCAGCGACGAGTCGGTGACTAGCTGCACCCAGTATGTAGTCCGCGTGCTGGAGGACAAGACTTTGCATATCTGGATACGCGCATGCCTTTGCGACTCTTTGCAAAGTCGTGCTCGCAGCCTGAGCGACAGCACCGCTGGAAGATGCCAGTCCGCAAATCAAGGGATAGAGTGTGTGCAAGAGCAGTGGTCGGAAAGAGATGCCCAGTAAATCTGAGCACGACCCGACGATGGAAAAGAGCAGAACGTCTCCACATTGCAGCTGCATTGCGGCATCGTCCATTGCTGCCACCAACGCAGCGTGCCTTGATGGTGCAGACTGAATCTTTGCAATGTGTGCAGACTCAACAAAACTCAGATCGAGTACTGCACCCGACTTTTCCAGCTCCGTCGGCATTTGATGACCATGGGGTAAGCCCTTGCGATGCTCTACCTCGACTCCAGAAATCGCTGTCGTGGAGAGTTGATCGGCAGACCCATCCACGCCCCCGTATTGGTGTCCAGTGTCTCCATCGTGATACTGATCTGCTATCAACAGCTGATCCTGATCTGCTTCCCACATGTCGATCACCGCGTTCGCTGCATCGCGCGCCAAACGATGAGCAGCCTTGCGAGCTCTTTTGCCATCGCGTCCGGTTGCTGCTCGCGTCGTTTCGTCTCCAAGGGCTTGCGCAATGCCACTCATCAATTGACTAGCGAGGAGAAGCGCGGAAGCTGAAAGGCGTCTGTCATGGGAAGCACCATCCGACGCTACTCCCAGTGATGTTCTCCTTGCCTGACCCAAAGTCAAGAAGTGCACGACAAGCTGGAAAGAGTCTTTTGTTTTCTGCTTCGTCGCTACGGATCCACTGTGTCGACTGACCTGGGCTAAGCCTTTGCCGACGTCTATCAACATGTCTAGAAGAGCGTGTGTGGTGAGCTTGTCGACATGGCGCAACCTTATGTAGCTAGCTCTTTCAGCTGCTTCATCCACAGATCCAAGTACGAGAGCAGGTAGAAGCTGACTTGTGAGTCGTTCCATCACACTCGTTGACGTGAACAGAGTCGCCAGTTGGGGCCCAAGGTGATGATCCCCAGACAGGCAACGAACGAGAGCGGCCAAACGACCTGCGAGCAAGGTGGTGTTCTCGTCATCGTGCGTCACGATTGCACGAGGTAGGCGCCTTAGACTCTCCGCAAGCTCGAGTTCTGCCCATTTGGCCAATCGGGACGAAGACACTTGCTCTTCGGTGGTCAAGGTGCTCAAAGCGTTCCTGGCAGCTTCCACGACAATGGTGGCTGAGAGACGAGAGGCATTGATATCCAAAAGCCACACAAAGAGCATGCGCGAAGTGCTCGAGTGGTCCGTTGAGATTGTCGCGACATGCGTGGACAGGTCGAGGGTGTTTCCCGCGTGCGTCAACAGCTCGCTGGCCATCTGTACTGCGGCGAGCTGAGCAGATGCGTGTTGGTGCTTCACCACTCCGGTCATGGCGGCCAGAGCAGCGCCGACGCGCTCCAGCGTGGTCTGTATGCTCGCAGGAACTTGGCCCGGCCCCACAGTGCCAGAGCGCTCCTTTGTGACATCGAACGGCACGTCCAAGCTTCGCTCATCCAGTTGCGCAGCTTCGACCATCGAGGCTAAATCCGTGAACCTTGCCCCATCTTCCGCGTCGCCCTCGTGATCAGGCAGGGGGGAGAACTCGGTTGTCAGGCCGAGATGATCCGCCATGGTGATCAGAAGCGCGTCTTTCAACGCGTCAAGTGCGGCAGCTACCAGAGCTCCGGGAGTCTTTGTAATGTCTCCTAGCGCCGTGCTAGCATTTTGAGAGGTGTGGTGAACCTGTCCGACGGCTGTCCTAGTCATGGAGCTCACAAAACCTGGCAGGAATGTCGTCGCTCGTTGTGCCAATCGTGCGATTCCCACGCCTGTTCCCGGTGCGGCATCGCGACTCAAGTGCTGCAGACGACCGCGTTTGTCCAAACGCACCCCTGTGAGCCATACGACAAATATGACCCTAGCAAGTGAGACAGCTCGCGTTCGGGTTGAGGTGGTGAGCTGCCGAGTGCCGCTTGCGCCGCTGGCTATATCCAAAGCACCAGATAATGCGTGCGCCAGCGCTCCTTTGCTGGATCCCTGAGTGATGGCGTGATCGACGTGAGCTTCGCAGGGGTAGCGCTGACAGCCTAAGTCGGATTGGCTAGCAAGAAGAGAGGTAGATGAATGCACGTGCGATGATGCTCGAGCGCGGGAGCCGCCTCCATTGTGCCCATCGTCTACTGCACCTTCATCCTGCAGCGGTAGCTCCGACACGCCGTCCCACTCCCACTCCCACTCACTCTCTTGGTCAGGTTGACTGCTGCTCGTCTGGCTGCCGTGCCACACCTCGATGCGAGGCGCCAACAGTTCGAGCAAGAAGTCGATGATGGCCGTTTGGGTCTCTTGGCTAGCCTGGTTGGTGCCCTGTTGCGGTACTGCAGGCGACCCAACCAACGCGACGACGCCAAGAATCAAGAGTTGATGCCATACTTTCCAGCTCTCATTCGCTTTGCCTGATCCATCTGCGACTTGCGCTGGTGCGAATGCTGACCACCAGTCGTGAGCCAGCAGAGCGAGGCACCGAAAGAGCTGCTGGCGTACAGCATCGGGCAGCGCACCACTCTTTCCGTCTGCATCGGATTTGAAGAGTTGTGCTAATGGATAGAAGATGTAATTGATGAGGCTCAGGGAGAGCGGATGACGAAAAGGTGGATGTGAAATGATGCGCAGATGAGATGTGGATGCGATCGGATGCGAGTCGAGTGCCTCTGAGATGGGTTGTGGCTGTGCATGGGTGGTGTAGCTTTGCAGCAAGGAGTCGAGTCGATGCAAGAGTTGTCGGATGCGAGGGTGCGATCCAGGCTGCACCTTGCCAGACGCGGAAGACGGGCAATTGGAGAGCAGCTCGACGCAGACAGGCTTGAGCTGATGCAATCGCAATGGAGCAGTGGGAAATGTATCGAGCATAGCATGGGCTCAGCAGTAGCGGGGGGGGGAGATGCAAGGAAAAGCGCAGTGTGGATGATGTGCGCTACCCCTCACTCACCTCCTTGAAACGTGCTGCATTCACGTCTGCATCCGATGCGGATGGCTGGGTAGCAAAGGGCGGGGCGAAGAGCGACATGCTGGGCGCTATTGGCGTGGCGTCCCCAGAGCAGAGCTTTTGCGCATGCAGACACGCTACCTTGGATCGAGAAGAGTGTGGGTGTGGGTGTGGGTGTGGGTGGGATAGCTGTAAGCTCGCATCACGAGTGACTCGCGAATGGTAGTCCCATTGCTGGATGCATCTTGAACCGAAATAGTCACGATTGTAAGAGGTGTGATTGGGCAACGCTTGATGTAGGGAGAGGCTTTAACACTTGCGTGACTTGGACAGGCTGCAGCGAAGATCAAAGGAGTCAAACTCATCAAAGTAGCTCGCGCATTCACAGATTCTGGAGTCGCAGTCAGAGAGTCACTACCAGTCACAATTTGAATCAAAATAGTCAGGACATGCGCTTGTGCGCGCCCGGCGAGTGGAGGCGCGCACCCTACGCTAATCTCGAATTTAATCTGAGCATGAATACATTATTCATCAAGATTCAAATCGAATCTTGAATCAATCAATCTTGAATCGAATGGATGGAGGCCGGGCTCACGTGATGCGTTTTGCCCGCCAAAGGCTTCCTTTAACCCACGCACGCTACACACGTACTCACGACTCACGACTCACGACTCACGACTCACGACTCACGCTCAAGGCCCACTCAAACTCTAGACTCTGGACTCTTGACTCGAGACCCACGCGATGGAGATTTTTGAGTGATCACGCCAATCGACAGAACTACTCACACTCACACCCACAACCTCAGACTCTAATCTGTCGCAAGTGATGGTCAGATTTGCGATTGTCGCCTCACCCATCATCGCCTCCTTCCCTTCCTTCCCTCTTCTCTCGCACACCCTGGCACAATCGCTGTGTCAGCGTGCACGATGAGCACGCAATCATCGGGTCCATACAGCTACGCCCAGTCGCCAAGTCCACCCGAGACGGATTTGGACGCCCTCTCTTTCGATTCAGAGTGGTTGAATGCTCTGCCTTTCCATCCCATCTTTAGTTGGGCAGGCACTCCAACCAAGCAGCCCGCAAGCACGCCAAAGTCCAACGTGGTCATCAGTGGCTCGACGCTGTACGTGGCGCAAGGAAGACAATTGCGGCAGATCAGCCTAGTCAGCGCCAAGCATGCCGCGCTGGAAGGGCTTAGAGGTGGCTTGAGCTTGGAGAGCGTGCTAGCCGCAGAGACGTACACCCTGCTCGCACCGCAACTGAGACAGGATCGATATGCTCAGCCCTTCGCTCGCCCACGATCCACCACTCCAGGGCCAAGCGCGAGCCATGCGGATAGTCAAGAGGTCGACTTTGATTTCGAGATTCAGTCGCTGGTCGTAAATCCGACTGGCAGACTGATCGCAGTGGTGGGCACGCACAGGCTCGTGGTGCTCGTTCTACCTCGAAGCGCTCAATCCGGCCACTCGAGCGGCAATGGTCAGCAAATCAAGAGCTTGAATTGCTTGGCGGACAGAGTCGGAGAGTGGTTTCACGATGAACGAGCTTCGAATGGCGCAGACAGTGACAATGCTATTTGTCAGGTCAAATGGCACCCGTGGAGCGTCGATGGTCTGGCCATGCTGGTGTGCACGAGGGATGGAATGCTGCGGTGAGCGCTTGCTTGCAGGGCGTGCTGGAGGTTTTCAGCGTGGCCGGAGGCATCTGTATTCGAGCTGACTGTGGATCACGCACACACCCAGGGAGTACAACGCTGCGACTCCAGGCGATCCTGTTCAAACCGTTTCGCTTCTACCCTCAGCTAGTGCCAACTCAGCTCCTCACGCAGACGCATACCGACGCTCAACACGCAGTCCATCCTACGGATTCGCTCACTCAGCGCCCTCGAGCGCGCAGCCCGGTTCCAATAGACGCACCTCGGCCTCTTTCTCTGACATCGCAGAGGGCAGAAGCTCAAAAAGGTGTGCGAGCTTTGTGCTTGGCGTTCGAGAGACGGAAGAGCGGGCAGGTGTTGATAGTGGAGCCAGGCAGCCAGGCTTGGGAGAGGATGAGGGTGCACACCCTACACAGCAGGAAAAGCATAGCACCACCTTGTCTCAAGGGTGGGAAGCGCTGACCGTCTGGTCTGTGGCTGAAAATGGCGATTTCTACGCGCTGTGTCCCTATCTGCCGGTTCATGCGTGAGTGTCCTTTCCAAAACACGAACGCTGAGCGCTTTTCTCACGAGCTCATGCGATGAATCGCCCACCTCAGAAACATACCTCTTCAACTTTTGCCTACCTTGAGCGCGATGTCTCAATCGCTCTCGCCGAATGATCCCATGCGCTCGCAAGCCCTGCGGTACGTTTCAGCGCTTCAGCGCCAAGCGCAGTCCCAGCTAGAAAGTCCAACTCGATCTAGGAAGGATGAGGACACCGCTGCGAGTGAGGGAAGTGTGCGTGTTCAGCCGCCTCCGCGCCAGAGCGGAAACAACATCACCTTGCAGGGACCCTGTCTACTCTCGAGCTCCCCGCACGAGCTGTCGGACGTCAGGGAGGCGCTCGTGACAGATCTTCTCTTGCTGCACCCTTCTCCGCTGGAGGAATCCTCTGCCCCTCCCGCCAGCCTCGACAGCGCCAGATTCGAAGTTGCCGTGGTTGCGAGTGATGATGGTCGCTTGGACTTGGCAATCTTGCCCAGGCTCAGTCCTTCTTGGGGCAAGAACATCAAGACTGCTTCTTCAAAACGGGTCCAGAGAGGCACGGTGCAGTCCTCGAACAGATATGGCTTTGTGAGTAGGCGTGCCTCGGGTGACAATCTAGCTGCTGTGCTCATTTTCCCGTCGTCTACAGCACGACAGCTCGGACGAAGATCAAGATGACTCCGATGAATCTACGTCGCCTTCCATTTTGCTTTACGAGACAGTCTCTTTAGGCGTTCAAGAAAGCGTCGTGGCCCGTCTTTCTCCTGAGAAAAGAGAAGATTTATCCGCCTTGGAGGCCGCATTCTCTTCCCAAAGAACGACTTTGGTTCAAGACGCTCTGTATGATGACACGTTCTATGCACATCACTCGCTCGGCGCGCACGCCATCTGTGTGGGAGAATGGGCTCGAAGCATCTCCACCGCACTCGCAAAAGAAGCGGACTCGGAAGATGCACCACGATCTGGAGCGCCTCTTGATCAAGTGATCAGAGAAGCCCCGCCTTCGACCGTCAGGTGGGCTGTCAAGACATCCGCAGCTCTGCTTCCGTCACAGGACACGCCTGCCCATCCATTGTCGGGACTCTGCATCATGACGGACGTCTACCTTTCATACGCTCTCATCGCTTTGTCGCCCGGGCAGTCAGGAGGCGTGGCAGCTCTTGAGCTCAGCATGCGAGTACCTGGACAACCGGAGCCGAGCGATGGCGACTTGACCGTCGATTGCACAAAGAGTGTGGGCGGCAAGCCCGCAGAAGATGCGACTGCAAGCTCGGCATACACCTCTTTGCTAGGCGAAGGCTTCTCGCTACCTACGATTTTTAAAGACGCGCTGGGACTCGGACCCGGCAATACGTCCAACGTTACCACTTCCAGGATCATCTCTTCTCCGTCTGTGGGCAAAGGCAAGGAAATTGACATGACGGCCGAGACGCTCAGAGCATTGGGTCAATCTGCTCAATCTTTCAGGATCAAAGCCAGGGCCGTCACCAGTGCTGTGCAGGCAGTCCAAGCGAGGCTCGATTTGCAGCTGAGAGAGCTGGAGCGTCAGCTGAAAAAGTTCGAAGGCGTAAAGCAGAAGGTCGGTTTGCAACAGCAGCAGTACAAACATGCGGAGTTGACCGAAAATGTGAATGAAAGGATAGAAAGAGTGGCCAAGAGGCAAAAGGAGCTGGTGAAGAGGACAGATCGGCTGCTTCAGGATTTGATGGACAAACATCAGCCTGTGCTCAGCATCTATGAGGTCAAGTGGTTCGAGGAGCTTAAACAGCTAAAGAGCGTCGTCGGCCTCAAGAGGGAGGTCGATGACGATGAGCACGGCCAAAGAGGCGCGATTGGCGCAGATCTTTCGACCCAGGTCGAGAAGGTGAGTGCTGCAAGAGATGATGTTCCCGCGATTCGCGCTCTCAAACGCTTTCGCTCTCAGCTCTCGTATCAGCTCTCCACTTTGCGACCTCAGCTGCGCACTTTGCAGCTTTCACAACGCTCGACGGTCGCGCGAGCAGGGCAGCCTGGAGTCAGACAGCTCGCAACTGTGCAGTCCGCATTGACGAAGGAGTGAGTTGCGACGAGTCACGGCGTGTGGGGCATGTAGCGCTCAATGGTAACCTCTCTGCTCTGCTCCATCACATTCCCTAGAGCTGCCTTATTGGTCGAGGCGAGGGAGAAGATCAAAAATCTATCGGGACGCGTGGCGCGCGAAACGAGAGAAGCGCGGGCGACGAGACGTGCGTGATACGTGAAAGTTGCAGCTAGGCGAGGTGTCACAAAGATAGCGGGGCCTGATCAACTTGGCCGCCAGTGCAAAGCATGTAATTCGAATCGTGACTGACGCTCCGAGTCGTGGGAATAGCGCGACTCGTGACGATTCGAGCAAATCTCGACGTTCCTTTTGGGAGGCGCTTCGATGCGGGTGACGGTGCGGTCGCGTGCTTTGCCGATAGCATCGCACGCGTCACTTGGCTCTTACTCCGACCACAAATGCTCCACCTGCAAAGGATCGGCGCCGCGATGTGAGCTCTCGATCCGAGGCGCAAAGTTTCGACAACACTGCCATCTCACCTCGTCGATACCTCCAGGCTGAGGATTCGGTCTCGGAATCTCATCCACGTACTCCTCCTCTTCCCCGACCTCCTCCTCCTCCTCATCCTGATCATCCTCCAAAAGCTCCGGTCCAAAGCTGAGCACAGGTCTGAGCTGGCTCGAGTCCGAATTGCTCCTCACAGCGCGCTGAGCATGAGGTCTGAGCAAGGCCGCAGCAGCAGCAGCAGCAGCAGCTCCATCTTCCGACGATGCGTGTGCTAGTCCGGAAGAAGAGGAGCGCCTGATTTGACCCGTGGGTCGAGCAGGCGAACCAGACGATTCTGTGCTGCTGCTCCTGCTGTGTCTTCTGCGCCTAGCACCTGGCGAGCCGGGCGTGATTGGACGTGGAGACGTCAAGACGCGCATCTCTCTGGGCGAGAGGTGTTCCCAAGATTGAGCGCCTTCTGGAGGAGGAGGCATGTGCATCTCGCCTTCTCCTTCGATCGCTTCCTTCGCAGGATCCGTGGTGCTCGCAGAGCTCTCTGATCCCAAATCTCCAAGATTGATGGACTCGGAATCAGAAATCGACTCGGTATCCTGCGAGAGCGTCGGAGCATCAGCTGCGGCATCGAGATAGCATCCCCACGTCGCACTCACTCCCAAAATCTCTCCCAGCCTAGCCCACGCATTCTCAGCGCCGCTCTGATTCAGCGCCCATCGATCGTCCCTCCATGCGCTCGCTTCGCTCTCTGCGCCGCTCTCCATCGACGCGCCACTCTCCTGCTCCATGCCAGCCGCTCCGATCGCTGCAGCATCCGGGAAACCAAACAGTTCGCCGAGCACATCTTCGTACTCGTCCAGATAACCATCCAACAAGTCGTCTGGAATGTACCGCAGCGTGCCTGCCGTGCTCTCCGTCCGACGTCTGAGTGGCGGAAGGTGCAGATCGGTCTCAAAGAAGCCGGCCAAGCTGCGCGAGGGAGATGACAGACCAGGCGTCGCTTGTGCTGGTCCTTGCTGGCCAGCGTTTGGATGATGTGGAGCCGCAGACGCGCCGGGCAGTGGAGGCCCATGAGGTCCAGCAAGCCCGCCTTCGGGGACTCCAGTGGAAAGGGATCGTCTGTGCGCGTGTCCGTGTCCATGCGCGCCCGCAGCAAGGGGGCCTCCATTACCGAATCTGGTGAGGTTGTAAAATTTGACCAAGTTTCTGCAAGCTTGTTCTTGCGGCAAGCTCTCTTCGACGTCCTGATCTATATCTGCTCCGCTGAGCCACTCTTCTCTCAGATCGGGTCTCAAGTGCAGGTAAATGGCAGTGATGACCTTCATGTTGGCCTGTCTCCACTTGCGACCGCAAAAGGGTACCTGACTCTTGAGCATCTTGAGCACATACTTTTGCACGCCAGGATGAGGAATCTTGAGCACCCTTTTGAGCTGATTGGATGATTTGTACTGCACCATCATCAGCACTCTGTGCGTCTTGCGCTTTGTGAGTTTTTGAAGCACTCGCAAAAAGTTCACAGCGCACGAAAAGTTGCGGAACGAGTATTCGCGCATCAGCTCCACCTCATCGCCTCGCAGCGGGAGCGCAGCAATACCGCCCGGCGGTGGTGGAGTGTTGGTGGTGCGCCCGGCAGCGCCGACGCCGTACAGCGGGTCGGGGTACGTATCCTCAGGTTGATGAAGGCGCTCCTCCTTGCCGCAGTACAGCTCGCAGTACTTGAAAAAGTTAAAGTTGGGCGCCTCATTGATGGCTCGAACTGTATTCGCGGTTTCTTGCAGTCCAAACATTTTCAAAATGAGCAGCAAAGAGTTGGAATCGACGAGCAGCTGACTAAAGTAGTGAAACTTCATCGCATGGCTCGTCTTGAACCACCTCATGATGAGGAGGATGATGGCGCTGACAGCCTTGCTCGTGATTTCTCGATGTCTTACGATATCGATGTCTTCCAACGTCGGAGGTGGGGCCTCCTCAGGGCTGATACCTTCCGCGACAGCCTGAGAGTGCGGGCTGTTCGTGCTGCTTTGCTGCGTGACGGTAGCGAGCAAAAGTTTGAGGAGGACAATAGCGGTCGGATGCAGATGCTGTATAGCGTTCCTATAGATCAAGTCCACCCTTTGTAGTCTTCTCGCATCAAGACGTTGCTGGGCCAAAGTGTTGCAGAGAGAGACGTACTTGGGATTATCGAGCACAGCGAGCATGTGGTCCCCTTCCACCCGCGCAAGCTCCGCTTCCAGCTCCATCTCCAGCTCGTGCAGTCTCTCCGCAGTGGGTTCCCCGCGCACCGAAAACGGGCCGCCGCTGCTCGTCGTGCTTCCATTGCGAGCTTTGCGTCGCTCGGTAGTGTAGGAAAGTGGAGCCTCGGTAGTGCTGGGACTGCGACTGCCTTGCGACGAAGACGCTGCATCGTCCATGTTCAGATCTCCTCGTCGTGCGATGGGACTCAAAATGGATCCGTACGAGTGTTTGAACTCTCCGTACGCGTTCGGCGCGCTTTCAATGCCCAATGTGTGGCCATTGCCGGTTCTAGCACCACCGACACCAACGCCAATGCGCTTCCCGTCCGCCCCGATGGCTACACCGCTCTCATCATGCAGCACCTGCTCTCTCAACCTCCAAGTCTGCCACATGTCCAGCCCAACGGTCATGTGTTCCTTGTACAATTGAGCAGCCTCTTCGATGCTTTTGGGGACCATCTTGCCTCCCTGCACGCTCCTACTAAAGGGGAAGACAAATGGTCTATTCTGATCCGTCTGATATTTTTGCTTGCCCACTTTGGGTCCCGGGCTCGCAGGAGGCGTAGGTGCTGGCGTTCCAGGCTGTCCTTGCGCATTACCAGGTCCGCCTTGCGCATTTGCCTGCGCGCCATTCGCGTTCGTGTCGTGGTGTCCAGACGCTTTGCGAGCAGGGATAGGATTGACAGCAGTGGCGATCTTGTCCAGCGGCAGTTCGTCAGGTCTTTTCGTGGACTCGTACGTGGGAAATTTGTTTGTGATCTCTTCGTGAAAAGCCTTCATGTCGAGAGGCGTCGCTTTCGTGTTCCCTAGAAACGAGGTCCAATTTCAACTTTCCATCTTCAACACCCGACGCGAAAAACAAACTCACTCTCTCCGCTCGCCTCGTCCACATTCTTCTTTGGTGGTAGACCCTCCAACTGTCGCGCTAGCATCTTGCAGCGCTCAATGTCTGCATCGCCTCCGAGCGCAGCCAGGAGCGTCTTCCAAAGCAACAGCAGTAGTTTCTTGACGGGATATCCCTTGGCATTCTTATCTCTCAAGCTAGCGACCAAGCCGAATAAAAAGACGGGCAGTGGTGGATCGAGGGACACTGAGGTGGAACGCCGCACGTGAGCCAATGTTGGCCCCTGTGTGCGAGCGCTCCACTACTCGCAAAGAAAGACACGACTTGGCCTAACGCCGCATTCCGCGCCTTTACTCACTCAACTCGTCTCCAAGCTCAGGCTCGCCTCGTCCAGTCTCGACGAGGATGTAAAGCTGAGCAAAATGCAGTGCGATTTCGAGATTGATCTCGTCCAAAAAATCGAGCTTGTTTGCGTGAGTCATCAGCGGCTGCCTTCTGCCGTCGTCAGCCAGCGCTGCTGATGGTGCGGGAGGAGCTTGATTTGGGTCCTTTTCAGCAGCTTGCGCGTCGTTTGGTGATTGACTTTCGGTGGATGAGCGGATCTCGTCCGGCAGTGCGCTGTAGGCGCAGTGCCCCGCAGACTGATCAACACTCCATCCTCGTTTCAAAGCTGGACAACATGACGAGCGAAAACGCACCTCAGCCAATCATGCTTCCAGCAAGCGTTTTTCAGCGCTCTAGTGATCTCTTCGATGCCTCCCAAACTTCTGACCATCCTGGCATTCTCCATCATCCACTGTATCTGATGTTCTTCTCCCAGCGTATCCCTGAAGTTGCCCTGCAAGAGGTACAACAAAGCTCTGGACGCTCTTTGGCGTGCAAGGCTATCGCGCACTTCCAGCTTGGAGAGGAGTTGGAGGAGCGTTCGTCGACGCGTGGACGAGGGCAAGGAGGTCCATTCCATCTCTGCCGAATCGAACAGCGCAGGCGGTCAGACATAGAGGACTTTACAGATGGTGAAAGGCCTCATCGAGACTCACCGCTACCAGTCGTATCTTTCCTCGTCGTGCCCACATCCGCATGAATCTCCGCCTCTCCTGGAACGTCAAGCCCTTCTTTCTCTGCTTTCTCCTGCGCACCAGCACCGGAGGCCAGATCGATCCACTCCTTGAAAGCCTCCCAATGTTCCCTGAATTGCGGAGCTTCGACATATGAATAGAATTCGTCCATCTCTCTTCCGAACGCATCGCAATCCCGTCTCATATCAAAATCGTACTTTCTCGTTCTTCTTCCCGTTGCCGTCGCCCAAGGGGTGATGCCAGGAGGTGCGCCCGCAGCTGTACCAGCGCCGGTACTGGCAAATGAACCTGGAATGGCTTGAGTTGGGAAGTTGGCATTGGAGGGGCCAAAGGAGGAGTAGGTCGTGCCTAGCGGCGGTGTGGGCGCTGGCAAGGGTGGGATGGGAGAAGCGGCATTCTCAAAGGAGAGTGCTGGTGCCTGACCTGCTTCTTGGGTCTGTGCAAGGTCGCCGACAGCACCAGCAGGTGGGTCAGAAGCGACGACGGAAGAAGGTCGAGAAGGTCTGCTCATCACCCTGAACATTTCCGTCACGCTGGGTCCTGCACCTGATGGGCCGGCATTCCTGCCTGAATTGAGCTGACGCGGCTCTCCATCGTCCACCTGCACGATGCGCTCCGGGTCGTCTGCACCTGGAGCAGTCGGCGAGACGGGCGATCGAGGATCAGTCACGCCTGTGGAGCTGATGCCGTTCAGAGGAGCCAATGTGACCAAGTTGCGTCCGGAAGGAGACATGCTCGAATCTCTTCTCCAGACGCCTTGCGCAGTGGACCTTTGTGAAGCAGGCGGTGAGCCGGAAGGGGTGGGATTGGATAGACCTAATTCCAAGCCCATTCCGTTGCTCGGCTCTTTCCCGCTATTACCGTCATCGACGTTGCGCAGAGGGACGAGGGTATGCATCCCTTCCGAATCCTCGCTCGTGTTTGCGTAAGCGTGAGGATCGACCAACGAAGCGTTGAGCGTGGATTGTGTGGGCGCACTCTCTCCTTGTCCGCCCAAAGGCGCTCCCGGGCCAGAGACGGTGGGTGGAGGAGAGGTAGCGGAAGCTTCTCTTGAACGAGGTGGAGAAGTGATGAGACCGAGAGATGAAGACATTTGATCACCCTGCGCCGCGCCAGTGTGCATCCCCAGCGCGTTGGAGAAAGATTCGTCGTCTTGATTTGAACCTTGAGAGATCGAACGAGGACTGCTCAGCGCCGAATGACGAATCTGGATGGGTGACGATCGATGAGGTGCGGCTACGCGGGTGAGGGATGGCGATGCGTTGGGATTGCGTCGATTGACGGAAGCGGCGGCGATGGGGGATCGATTCGATGTTCTGGGCGATCCTCGAACGGGCATCGTCGTGGGGCTACCGCTGCCCACGTCCATTCCTAGCGCTCCTCCTGCGCTGGCGAGACCGACGGATCTAGCAAAGCCGGGAGATCTGTGAATGGTGGGACTAGAAGGTCCAGCGAGTGCCTGATCCATGCTCGAAGCGCTTTCTGCCCCCGCCCCCTCGCTTGCCACCTCGGCACCATCGCCAGGAGCTTGGGAAGAGGTCAATGCCCAATTATTGGATGGGCCTGGACTGTGACTAGACAGCGCATGCAGGCGCGGTAGACGTTGTCTCTCCAATTCAGGTTCCAAATCGGCCATGAGATCAACGGATGGCGCTCTAGGAGAGGCAGGAGGAATGTGAATGTGCTGGTTGGTAGAGCTGCTGGGGATGCTGGCTGGAGATGCGAGTGCTTCGTTGTGGGCCACAGGTGAGGAGGGAGAGGCAGCATGATCGTCGGGCTGGGGTGCGCCAGCGCCAGCGCCAGTGCCAGTGGAGTCGGGAGATATTGACATGGCTTGGTGAGTGAGCTGACGGTCGCTGTAGATGGGTGGAAGAATCAAGAATGCTTGTGAAGTGCTTGATGCGACGTGCGACGTGCGACGTGCGACGTGCGACGTGCGAGGGGCAAAGTGGTGCTGCTATGCTAGCCTTTGAGTGAGAAGAGTCAAAGTGGAGAGTAGTCAACGGCGCTGGCTGCACTCTTGCGTGACTCTCGACTCTCGACTCTTGACTCTTGACTCTTGACATGAACGTGAGTGAGTCAAAGTCTCGCTCGAGCTGTAAGTTGTGACTCAACTTCATCGTCATGAATGAATCACGAATGCGCGGATGAGCGTGCATGCGCGCGTCGTTCGCAGCTGCTTGCAAGCTTTGCATGGCTGCGCGTTGGCGGACTGCTTGACTTCTTTCAATCCTAGCGTAGAGCTCTCAGTCACGTGCATCATCAGTCTGTGTCGCGTGACCTTTTCCCGCACGAGAGAGTCAATCAAGTGCCAAAAGGTGGAGCAAGGGATTCGTGATTCTTGAGTGGATTGGATTCACGATTTCCTGAATCCACGCGTCAGGAGCTAAGTGTGTCTGGCTGGCTGGCTGGCTGGCTGGCTGGCTGGCTGGCTGGCTGGCTCTCGCATCCCTCGCATCCCTCGCATCCCTCGCATCCCTCGCATTCCTCGCATCCCTCACCACTCGCCGACTCTCACCCACGCCTCTCTCACTCTCTCTCTCTGGCGCGCGCGCCCAAAGAAGATGACGAGCCATGTGTCGTTGACGCCTACGGAGGAAGCGCAGCAGTACATTACTGCATTCCTGCACGATGCTCTCACAGCTTCGCTCCCTCCAGGTCTGCTGGATCTGCTACGCAGCAACAAATTGACCTTGCTGGGACTCATCAGACTGCTAGGCGATGCGCTCCAATCTTCCGAAGAGGAATCGCGCGGAAAAGGTCTTCGATTGCTATGCCTCGTCGTTCTCTCCTTCTCCCAGCAACTTTCAGAGGCAAAGGCGAGGGCGAATGGGGATGGGGATGGGGATGGGCATAGAGATGGAGATGGGCATGATGTGCAGGTGCAGGTGCAGGTGCAGACGCAGGTGCAGACGCAGGTGCAGCTGCTGGGCAGACAAGAAACGTTGGTGCTGTGCAATTTCTTGAGCACCAAGGTGGAGGATGCGGTGGTGATCGCTGATGCGCTGGCTAGGAGGTACAACGATAAGGAGCAGGTGATCCCTGGCAGTCTGCCTCATCGCTTCAAGGGCGTGCCTACGGGTGCAGAGAGCTTGGTGGACACGATCAGAGCGCTCGCCTCTCTTACCCAATCCACTCACTTTGCCAAGCAGAATGCTGCAGAAATCGCAGAAAAGTGAGCAGCGGGGGGAGCGTGGGGGGGGGAGCGGGGGAAGCAGGGAAGCGATGATGATGGGAGATGCGTGCAAAGCATTCTTCCATCGTCTCATCTCTGCACCTGCTCACACCTGCATCTTCCTACCTTCCCACCTTCCCACCTCCCACCTCCTCCAAGCATCTTGACGCACATCACACCCTCTCACTACCCTCAAGCCGTGCGCTACGAAATCTATCGACTGCTAGACTTGCTCATCTCCAACCACAGATCCGCCCTCTTCTCCACTCCGGAGCGCAGGGATGCCTTCCTCAAGGGCTACATCAAGTTGGTAGAGGGCGAAAAGGACCCTAGGAACCTGTTGTTCTGCTTTGCCATGGATCACGTGCTCATGAGGGAGTGTCAGTTGAGCCCCGCATTGGCCGAGGTGAGTTGTGGCAGGCAGGCGTGCAGGCGTGCAGGCGGTCGAAGCGTGGAGATGCGTGTTCCTGCACGCAATGCCGGCAGCTTCTTGGGCGAGAGTTGTGCAATTCGATGGCCGAGCCACTGAAACGTTGGCCCACCTTCTCGTCACTAAAGAGCTTCTTCGATGTGACGTACTGCTACTTCCCAATCACCTTTGTCGCACCTCCCAACGATCCCTACGGCATATCCAACCTGGACCTCACGCTAGCTCTGCGCCAATGCCTCACCTGCACACCCAGCATAGCCCCCTTTGCCATGCCCTTGCTTCTCGAAAAGCTGGCTGCGAGCGGTGGCAAAGCAAAGATGGAAACGTTGAGGGTGTTGGAGCAAGCTCTGCCAGTCTTTGGTCAAGAGGCCTGTCTGGCGCATGTCAAGAGGATATGGGAGGGCGTCAAGATCGAAGTGAGTTCGGCGCATCACGCGTGTGAGCTCGTTTCATGCTGACTCTCTTCGAGCTGCTGTTTGTTGTTCTGCTGGAACGTGCAGATCCTGCACGCTACGGACGAAGCCACATCGTACCTATCCGAGCGCGTGCTCGTGTCTCTTTTGCGCGTGCTGTACGCAGACGCCAAGACGGCCGAGGGACAAGCGCCTGTGATAGTCTCGGAATGTCTGGAGATCCTCGAAGAGCCTTCCAAATCCTTGGCTGGCGGCGCAACGACGATATTGAGCGATCTGGTACGAGCAAGCATCTCCACTTCCTATCTGGCCATCTTTGCCACGTTGGATCAACTGCTGACGTACTGGAAGAATGTGGAAGAGGTGGAGATGAGGGGAACGATTTTGAGGCGCATCTCTAAGCTGGTGGAAGCGCTGAGGCAGGCACACGAAGGAAGACGAGAGTGGGCTAATGAGCAGGCGCTAAAGGAGTTGAAGGAAAAGGAAAAGGAAATGAGGGGAGAGAGCGAGGGAATGAAGATTCAGTTGCCCATGGCTCTGATGCCGGCTCACCAGGAGCAGAGCAGACCTGCTTCTAATGTCGATGATGCGACGCGCACTACCCCTCCCAGCTCGATCTCAACCTCGCAGAGAGACTACGACACGGATCAAAGACCTCTCGATCCTTTCCGGTCGGATCTGATATCTTGCCTCTCCAACGCGCTCCAAAGCACCTCTTTCAAACCTCAAGCTCTTCAACTCCTATCTCCTCTGCTACACATCAGGTCTTTTCTGGACGAAGCAGAGATCAAATTTGTTTTGAGTCTAGTTAATGAACTCATTGTGGATGTGCAAGCGGACGGTAGTAGCAGCGTCAAGAGGAACTTGAACGAGGATGTGAGGGTGGAAGCGCTTCGAGGTCTGAAGGAATTTGCCAGCGTCAAGGCCAGGCTGTTGGAAGAGACTACTCTGCCGTTGCTGTTTGGAGCTCTGCCAGATCGGATCGAGGTGGGGATGCCCAACGCCGCCTCTGAGCACACTGCTTCCTCCACCTCCACCTCCGAGCTGCACCAGGAAAGGCTGCAGAGAACAATGAATACGACCCGACTAGCCCTGAGTGCCCTGGCTTCTCTCTGCGCTCAACCCGATCTCTTCTCCCTCTTTGTCCCAAGAGTGTTCAACAAACTTCAAAGCGTCTGCCCACCTTCCTCTCAGCCTGCTTTGTCGATGGAAGCGAAGCGCCTGCAGGATGAACTAAATGGAGGGTATGCTAGAGGTCTATTGGAAACTTTGAGGACGCTCTTGCAGAGCAAAGAAAAGGAAGCACATACGGACTTGCCTAGGTACGCTTCGGATCTCTTGCCGAGACTTTTGGCGCTCGTCATAGATGGTGCCATTTCGTCTTTCTCCTGCTCCGGCTCGTCTAGCCAAGACGAAAAGGAGGCTGGAAATACCGCCAACGATTGGAGGTTCGTGCAGGGTGTGGGAGAGATCGTCTGCATGCTAGTCAAGTTCTTGACGTTGGAGCGACAAGAAAGATTATCAAGAGGGCTGCATGCGCTTGTTCTGCGCGGCACGTTGGATAGCGCATTGGCACTTCCGCTTCGATCCCTTCCCACCACCCCTAGCACCATCCAATTTTGTCCCCTCACGACAGGTGCGCCTCCTTCGCATCGAGCAGCTCTTCCAGCTATCCTAGACGCTCTTCGAAGTCTCGACAAGGCCGTCTCCTTTCCCCCTTCTAGCCCGGACGCGCAATCTTTCCCGTCGAGGGAGTGGACAGAGAAGCTTTTGGAGTATGCGAGTGCCAGCGCACAGGATAGGTCTGCTGCCGGTCGAGCGCAGGAGAGAGCGGCCAGGGCTGCGCTATGCGTCTTTTTCAACAAGAACGTAGAAGAACCCTTGAGCGCTTCGTTGGTGGAGCTTTTGGACGAGACGTGGGAGCAGGGCGTACTTGGTCGATCGACGAAACAAAAAGAAGAAGAAGCAGAAGAAGGGCTGCAGAGACAAAGAATCTACCTTAGATGCTACGCTGCGATGGTCAAGGGAATGGTGGCAAGGAATAGCAAGGCTGCTCCATTCGCCCTGGACAGGATCATGCGACTTTTCCAACATGCCCAATTGGGCAGAGATGCGGCGAGATGCCTGGGCGATGTGGCACCGGATGAGGAGGGACTGTTGAGCAAGAAGAATGGAGCTGTGCTCAAGGTCAGTAGCCCTGCTTGATGATGTAGCGACTTCGAGCAGATTTAGCTGACCATTGCGCTTGCGTTCACTCGGACCTCGTAGCTCTTGCACAAACAACGTTTCTACTCCTTTGTCATTCCTCGAATCGTCGATGGATTCCGGACATCTCAAAGCGAAGATTTGAGTCGCGATGCAGAGCCAGCGTCAGAGAGGCCGGATCAGCGGAACAAGAGTCGAGCAGGAGTCTACCTCCTGGCACTGTCCAGTCTACTCCCCTCCATGCCTCGTCAGACCATCCTAGAACGTCTCAAAGATCTCTTCCCGCTCTTGATCCTCGCTTTAGACTTGCAGGACTCGGCAGCGAAGGCTAGCGCGGCCACCACCATTGCTGTTTCGGCCGCTATTGGAAAGAAGGAGAGACGGGAAGATTTGTTGGCGCAGAGCATACCGGAAGGTGCACCGACTGGAAAAGAGCCCTTGCCATTGGATTTGGTGGAGCAGCATTTTGGGACGATTGTGACGAGACTTGTTGCGGCTGCTCGGCCCGCCCCTAGCAATCCGGAGGTGAGCTTGGCCTGCATCTTGCGCGCGCGCGCCTCCACTTTGACTTGCGCTCAATCCCGCGCGCCCCCTTCATCTTTCGATTTCAGTCGACCAGAATAGCTGCGCTGAGAGCTCTCGCCGTGCTCGCTCGCACCGTATCCTATGCTGTTCTGCATCCTCACAAAGTAAAGGTGATCCGTACGCTGGCGGAAAAGGGTTTGGGCATCGATGATCCGAGAAGAGAAGTGAGGATCGAGGGCGTGGATACTAGAGAGGCTTGGCTCGCTATCAAGGGACAGAACAGCGAGGACACGTAGACTTGTACGGACGGGAGAGCGATAGGATGCATCACGGATCAGGGGAGTGGAGCAATGATATATCGACGTGGCTTGTTCAAGGCACTCGAGCGGCCTCGAGAATTCTAGCGCGCTAGGTCTTGGTGTGACACTTTTTGATGCACACGATACTCTTGAGCATGATTTGCGCCTGTGCAGGGGGCGTGCATTCGCCCCCTCGAGCTGGCGCTAAAGGAAGAGCGCCAAGTTCAGACGCTCGCGATCTAGTCAGGTGCTGAGTCTTGTGTAGGAGGTGATGTTGCTTCAAGATCCCGAGGGGGGGGGGGGGGGCAGTACACCGACACAATCTGGGTTGCCAGTAGATCAAAAGGCGGTCAAACATCCACAGTTGACCCATCGAGCGCAAAGAAGCACAAGGATGGCCCATTCGTGAACCAGCGAATGGGACAGAACCCAACGAAAAGAATGTCTGCACTTGTGGCGCGTACGGACTTCGATGGGACGTTAGCCTTTGCGCGATGCGATAATAGGGGACCTGGCGATTTGTCGCCATGGGCTTGCTCGCGACGATCGCAAAGCTCTTGCGAGTTGTGTCCTGGTTGGTAGCTTACGTCTGTACCGCTTCGAGCGCGACATTGTACCGCACTGCTCGGTCGCAAGGTCGCTGGAGAAAGACATGATCTGGCTGCTCAATCTAGACTTTGCAATCAATTCGAATGGAGCTGTATCTTCATTTACAGACGCAGCTACGAGGTCTGCTGAGCAACGTCGACTCTTTTCTGATATTGTCCGCCAAATGGCCGACGAAGCGAAGATCGCGAATCGTGCGGGTCTTCTGGCTGCAGTGCGATACTTCCACCTGTTCGGATCGCCAATCAGGTGTGGAAAACATGTGAGTGGCCACGCAGGTAAGCCGCGGACCAAGGCGACAAAGGCGCTTTCAAAGAGGTGCGATCTAGACCCGCAAACTTTACGCATACCTTGATTGTGCCCTGTGTGAGCGTATTGAAAGACCGCGAGTTGTGCAATCGCGCATGAGGGTGAGACGCGCCTATCGTCGACGTGTGAATCGTGAATGATGTGATGACTGAGACTGCCGGTTGGCTTGTGGCGATGCGATCAAGTGCTCGGACTCAAGCGGGATTACAGTCGCGATTCACCGTGGAATGCGACGAGTCACCCAATCACTTGAGCAAGAGCGAGGTGCACTAACAATCTGCGATTTTATTCAGACGGAAGGCGCACGACCGCAGCGCAGCGGGTATCCATTTGCGCACCACTGCGATGCGACCATCTACCTCGGTCTCGCCGAAGCTGCAGCAGCGTACAACAATCAAGACGCATTGCGCGCAAATCATCACCGTCTACCGCTCGCTGCCTGCTGTAAAGTACGCTGCGAAAGCGCGAGACGCGCAGACAAGATTGAGGGCGCCGTTGCAAGGATCAAATGCTATTTTGGTTCCTGGTGGTCCTGATTGTTGTGGATGTCTTGCTCTGGGGTCGAAGGGCGCCTTCCGCTACTACCTGGTTCAGCTTGATAAGTTGAATTGTTCGGGCGTCGCATGGCTGCAAGTTGAGATGAGTGGCCGATGAAGGTTAGCGATCGCCAAGCGGTTCTCTTCCCTTGGCCACGCTCGAGCACGCGTGAGGAAATGCTCGCGTATGCTCGTTCGGCAAAGTCGAACGATTACAATGCAGGGCGCTCGTTTGCCACTCACACGCGCACGCTTCCTGGGCTAGACAGGGCTCAACGAAAAGCGTACAAGCGATCGTCGAAAGCCGGCGGCCAGTCAGCCCGAAGGAAGCGAGCGAGCGTGAAAGGGCGAACGTTGATGAGACTCGACCGTTACGTGGCGCTACTTTGCACTCCCTCGAAAGACGCCTGGTCGCTGCGCAGAGCTTGACGGCTCGCCCTGAATATGGGCGGTCGATGGGTGCGCCGCACCTCGCACTTCGCCTTCACACTTCTCTCGGGTCGTAGCGGTCAATCGTTGCATGGGGCCATGCTGGCTGCGACCAAGTAGGGTTCATCATCATCATCATCATCGTCGCGCAGAGACATGTGTCTCTCGTTGACCTGAGTAGCCACGCTGCAGACACAGTCGTGAGTCTACTTGTGTCGTTGCAGAGCGCCTCGTGCCCGTGCTGAGATGCTCCGACGGCTGCGAGAGCGCCACTTGCGACGAATGCCAACAGTGTAAGTCGCGCGGCGTCGCAAGGTCAGCGCATTGCGGCGGTGAACGAAGGTAGATGATCAAAACATGGCGAAAGGCAAACGGCGACCGTCGACAGCTACACGATTCTATGCGACGCGGACCGTAGCTTTGCGTGGCGGGCGAAATCGGCATGCTGCCTCGGCAGCGACCCCCCCTCCTGGTCAAGATGAATGGGATTGCGAGTAGACTGCGACGAGAGGAGAGAGAGAGCGACTGCTACGTGCTGTGAGCAGACGGGTCACACGGTGATCGACGGTCGCACCTTGCAAGCATAAAAAGAGGCATCTTTTCGTGGCTTGTTCCCCATCCCGATTCTCTTCTCCTCATCAGATTCTACAGCTAAAGCTTGACCCATTGGGACTCGGTCATCCAAAGCAGCTTTACAAGGCTTCTTGTCCCCATCCGGTTCAAGAGAAGAGCTTGCTCAAGCGCACGCTCGCACTCGCATCCGCACACAGGCACACACAGATACGCACACTAGGCCCAGGCCTCATCTAGCCCTAGCAGGCTAGCACAGCACGCTCTCTAGGCAGCAGCGTAAAGAACAATTTTTTTTTTAGCAAAGGGCTTCACACCTTGCACCCGCTCCGTGCTCGCACATTCTCTCCTACGGGCAACAAAAAGTTCCGGAAAAAGGATTCGATCTGTATCTCTCGTTTCGCCACTCGACAAGAAAAAGGGGGTTGGGCCACTAGCTAGCTCTCGCTTTCTCCGACTCTTTTGAACAATTGACATTCTCGGCTCTGAAAAAAGACTCGACTTGCAGGACAGACTCCAAAAGGACGCAGTACATACCTTTGCGTGGAAAGCGAATCCAACGACTCAAAGTCGACCCTACCTTTGATCCTTGCATCCCTGCTTAGCTCGACCAGACGTCAGCAATAACAGCATCGCGCAACCTTTCTGAAGCTGACCGCTCCATCAACATGCGTGTCGATCGCCGTGCTGGTGCTTGGCGCCAGCTGCTCTGCGTGCTCACGGTAGCATGTCTGCTCTCCACCGTCGACACTCGCGCAACTCCATCCTCCGAGTCCTCGCCAATCTCTCTTCAAGACGCTCGCACCAGTCCGAGCGCTCAGCAGGAACAACTCCACCTTCGTTCCCAGTCCCAACAGACCGAGTGGAATCGCAGCGAAATCGCTTCGGATCCATCCACCAACTCTCCCCTGGACGCAAGAGCGGGCCACCTCGAGTCCGTCAGCCACTTGCGTCGTCGCTCCTTTGGACATCACCAAAAGCTCGTCCTACGTTCGCCAACGTATGCAGCCTCCAACAGTGGAGGCGCATCGACCACCAGCGGTGAAGCAGGCTTCAGCGGAGGTGGAGGCGGCGGTGGTGGTGGTGGTGGTGGAGGAGGAGGCGGTGGTGGTGGTGGCACGCCGTGAGTGTCGATTGCTGAAAGCACCGAACATTACGCAAGCATCTATCGGCGAACGTTGACTCATGCTGCCTCTCTTCTGTCTTGCCACAGTGTTGCCAAGACTAACTCTGCCAACACTGGCTCGTCAGATGCACATGCCGGCTCTTGCGGCGGTGGCTGCGGAGGCGGGGCCGGAGGCGGTAAAGGCGGCGGTGGCGGAGCTGGCGGCGGAGCTGGCGGTGGCGGTTGGATCGGGGGAGGTGCTGGTGGTGGTATCGGTGGTGGAAAGGGTGGCGGTATTGGTGGTGGAGCCGGCGGCGCACCCGGAGGTGGAAAAGGACCTGGCGGCCTCGCCCATGATAGCCAGCAGCCCGGCGGCGGAGCAGGCGGAGGTGCTGGAGGTGGCGCTGGTCACGGCGCCGGTGGTGGAGCTGGTGGAGGCGCTGGCTGTGAGGAGGGCAAGAAAGGAGGCGCTGGGGGAGGTGCAGGGGGAGGTGCCGGAGGCGGTTTCGGCGGAGGTGCTGGCGGGGGCCACGGAGGGGGACCGGGTCACGCACCTGGCGGAGGAGGCGGAATCGGTGGAGGTGCTGGCGGCGGCTTCGGCGGAGGAGCTGGGGCCGGTGCTGGTCACGGAGCAGGTGGAGGTATCGGTGGAGGCGCCGCAGGAGGGATCGGTCACGGTGGCGGTGCTGGTGGAGGTATTGGCGGAGGTGCTGGAGGTGGCTTTGGAGGTGGCGCAGGAGCTGGTGGAGGAGCAAGTCCAGCGGCCGATCAGAAGAAACCATGCTACAAGAAGAAAGAAGGCAGCGACAAAGAAGAGGAGTGCGAATGCGAAGAGCACAAAGAAAAGGAGCATGGAGGCGGCGCGGGAGGAGGAGCAGGTGGTGGATTTGGCGGAGGCGCAGGTGGAGGCATCGGCGGTGGAGGTGGCGCTGGAGGAGGCAAGGGAGGAGGGATCGGCGGAGGAGCTGGTGGTGGAGCGGGAGGCGGTATCGGTGGAGGAGCAGGTGGAGGAGCGGGAGGCGGCGTCGGTGGGGGAGCTGGTGGTGGAGCGGGAGGCGGCGTCGGTGGGGGAGCTGGTGGTGGGATCGGTGGAGGAGCTGGCGGTGGCGCAAGCACAAGCGCTGGTGAAGCCAAAAAGAGCGGCGAGGAACACGAAAAGAAAAAGGAAGAAAGTGGCGGCGGAAGCAGCAGCGGTGGAAGCTCGTCCGACACCAAGAAGAGCG